GGGAAAAAAGCATGAATCACGCAGTAACTCTTGGCCTTTCTTCCAAGCTTTTGTTTCAAGATACTTATTCAAGTGTAAACAACAAAATCAGCTGCATGATGGGTGTACCAAATGCACCCCCTCTAATTTTATCATACCCTCCCCATATGCCCAGCAGCACAGAAGCTTTAGAGAGGGGATGAAAAATATTGACAACACCATTTAAAGATAGAAATTAATTTCTGTTGGTGCCTTTTAAGCATCTTGATTATGGCTACAGAAAATCAATTGGGGAAAAAAAATTGTGGCCCCTTTGAAATGTAAGTGGAAACTGGAAAACCAGTCTTGGGTAATGAATGAATGATTCACAAACAAGTTGCAAAACAAATCACCAGGCTTCATTTTCTTACAAATTAAAAGTCCCAGATTTTATCTTTATCTATTGATTTATATATTTATGCACTGATAATTCTACCAGCTCTGAGTGACTAATTTTGAAATAAAAGAAATGCAATTAACTTTTTAATTATCATAAACGATCAGGGATAATAAAGCCAAGCATTCCTTGTTCACCAGACCCCATTTGAAAAAGACTTCATATTAGGGAAGAATCATTTTAAAAACAGAACAAAGTGAAGAATAAAAGAAATACTTTTTCCTCCATGCATTTAAGCTTCACATGTACATTTTTAAGACTTAAGCCACAGTCCACTTTTAGCAACTCTACTAAATTTGGGAAGCAGAAATCCAGAGGACCACTAGATGGCAGTAGAGAAATATAGAAAACTCATTCTAGTCCAGTCCTTGATAGTCCTACTTTTTCCAATAAAATGAGTGTTCTTATTCAGTACACCAAGTAATATAACTGTCTTAGCTGGAATCTGTACCCCAAACTGATATACAAACTGAGCAAAAAGTTATTTGATTTCTCTAACATCCAACACACATCCAACTAAACGGTGAGCCAAAGGACCAATATAAAGCCCACTACAAAATTTGCAAATACAATTCAAATCCTATTGCTTTTAATGTTATCCTTTACTTTTGGTTAATGTACTAATAATTCAAATAAGAAAGGTCATAGAAAAATTCTATTTAATAATGTAAATAGAATTTAAATATTTTAAATCATACACTTCCTACCAGCATTCAATCAATTAGCATTCAATAGCATTCCTGTATAGCAGGTTAATAACCAGACATCTTCTGTGGCAGGAAAATTATTTATGTGCCAAAATATAATTCACTTGCCCATTCACCAAAACTGAAAGTGAGTGTCCTAGATGCAGGTGCAATGAAATATGCTTGTCAAGGCACCTCAAGACATCTCCAGATTCTTTTTCATCATTGAAAATAGAAGCTATACACTTTAGAAGCTCTTTGCAATCTTGTTCTAATCATGCCACCTTGTCAGAAAGAAAAGAAACCTCCTAAAATTAGTTTTCCTTACCTTTAAAAATAATTGATGTAATAGGATCTGGTTTCCCAAATGTATGTTTAGGGATATTTGCAGCTGATTCTACAATTACCCGAAGCATTGTTTCAAGCAAACTTTAAAAAGAAGCTGTTTTCGAAGTAGAAAGTTCAGAGGGGGAAAAATACTTGAGATACTCGGCAGGCTCCAGACTGAAATGCCAGGAGGAGGAGGAAGAATAGGAGGAGGAGGAGACAAGAAGGAATGGCTCTGTTACAGCAATGAGAAGCTCACAGCGGAATTACCAAGTTTGTTACCAAAGCTAAAGAAAAGAAATGCATACCATCATTCACAAATCCTGTCCATTAGATAACAAAACTGATATGGATTGAAATTCAAACATAAGAATTTACAAAGCATGATGCTTAAAAAGGGGGAAATGCTCTCTATGCAAATGATGAGGAAGAAATATAAACGTGCATTAAATAATTACTGAATCAAGGACTCACTCATTCAAATCCATTGCATACTTTCCATTTTTATGGCTATGGAAATAATGGCCAAACCAAGAATTTTTTTTTTAAAAAAAGCATGAACGTTTCCTTTAAAAATACATTCTTTCCTCATGTTTGTGGTTTGAGTGTCGTTCTCCTTCTTTTTAATTCAGGAATGTTGCAAACAGTCTTAGATCGCCCCCTTCGGCAAAAGTCAACCTTGTACATAAATTCTAAAAGTCATCTCTAAATTTCATGCAGTCAGAGTTTGTAGTAAGAAGAAGAGAGAAGAATCAAACTCCAAAGCGATCAATTGTGAATGAACTGCTTTTCAGCATCCTGCCTGAAGCTAAAATAGCAGATTGGTTCTTCCACGCACTGTGTGCTGCAGGGAACTTCCCGTGGAGATTTCTGAATGGGAACCAGCCACAAAATATTATACCAATTACTGCAGATTTTCCTTCTAAACAGATTTAGAAAAAAGAATGGGAAAAGTGAAACATATTGGGAAGGTTTTGAATGGAATCTACTGTTCATCATATCCTTCATAAAATTTGAGGAATAAGGCAAGGTAATTGTATAAAACAGTTGTGTCTAGAGGTTAAGGCACCAGGCTAGAAACCAGGAAATGCTCAGTTCTAATCCTGCCTTCAAAGGCCAACTGAGTGATTTTGGGCCAGTCATTCTCTCTCAGCCCAAGGAAAAAGAAAATAGCAAACTAATTCCAAAACTGCAAATTGCATGGACATGCCCAGGCAGTTGTTAGGATTCCAGATTAGGTCTAAGACAGGCAGGCAGGCAGGCAGACACCCATGCATGTAATAAACATATTTGGAAATTCTCTGCTCTTCCCCCCCAAACGCCAAACAGTTCAAGTACTTCTCATGCTACCTGTGCTAGACTGGTTTCTTATACATGTCTGATAAATACATATCTATGCAGCTAAATCCTATTTTGTCCTCCTATAAAAAAGAAAAACATTTGCTTTGTAAGAAAGCAAAAAGAATCAGAAGGATCAGGCCATGAAGAAAGAGAAAGAAGAGGAGAAAGGAGAGAAAGGAGAAAGTTAGCATCATCTGAACCACTCTGACATATTGCAATAGGAAGAGAATAAAAGCCTATTCTGGAAACCTTCTGCATTTCAGTTGTGTGTAAGTGCACAAATTGTGAAACCAGGCTGTCTTCCATTCGAGACATACATTAGGTATTGTATGGAATTAATATGAACGAAGACGAATATATATGTCCCAGGATAATGAACTAATTCAAAGTGAGATATCTTGAAGCCCTTCTATACTAGGCCATTCACTATTTAAAATCACACAATATACTAAATCAGAATTTTAAATTCATGCTTCATTCAATAAGCAACAAACGACAGGATTGACATTAAACCATAATCTATGGCCTATAACCTACAATTGCGGGATTCCTACATGTTAAAGACCCCATTATGATTTTGAACAATATATGCATCCAATTAATATGTTAGCAAAGCAGATTCTGAGTTTTCTCATGATGTGGTTATCAGAAATCTTGGAACTGCCTATATTCTTAGTCGTTACAGTAACAATTCTTAGATTCTTGATTAGGACTTGCATTATTAAGTTAATGCATGAATCTAACTGTAGATTACCCACACATAATAATATTTCTAGTACATTTCTACTCAACTCTATTGAGAGTTAGTCGCAATGAGCCCAGGACTTTTGCCATGTGGGAGAGGACTGTGATCTCTGAAGATCAGCAAATGATGATTGTGTCTTTACTGGATTATTGTGTTTTTTTTTAAATTTTTTTTATTATTAAAATATAAACACAGATATAAAGACAATACAATACAATACAAAGACAAACAAAAAACCCACCACCTACAAACCCACCTAACATTTTACATATGTTTTTGTCATCAACAGAATATATGTCATTGAGCTTATATAGTTTAATAAAGAGTAATTATTAAGTATCTGATTCCAATGTTATAACCTTACACTACAAATTTACATTTTTTATGAGTTCATCTCCTTATGCAAGTCTTTACCCTAATTTCTGTCCTCTACATTTTTGCTGATTTTCCTTTCCAGCCATTGATACCATTGGTGCCATGCAAGATAGTATTCGCTTTCTTCCTTTTCTTGGAGTTCCAGCGTCAATCTGTCCATTTCCGCACACTCTGTTATTTTTGCAACGATTTTGTCTTTGGATGGGAGTTGGTCTAATTTCCAGTTTACTGGATTATTGTTGACAGCAGGTGCTAATATCTGCTCGATGACCAGTCTTGGCGGGCTAACAAGTATCTCCAAGCATTTGTGCACAATTCACTCGTTAGAAAATAAAACCATCATTAAACCATTCTGGGGGTTGTAAATCCAGAGATACCCATGCATGTAATAAAAATATTTGGAAATTCCACACAGTTCCAAACAGTCCAGCTACTTTTCATGCTATCTATGCTAGACTGATTTCCTAGATGTGTCTGATGAATACATATTTAGAACAGAATAGAAATAGAAAATGGAACAGGACAGAGCTGGAAGGGACCTTGGAGGTCGTCTAGTCCAGCCCCCTGCTCAAGCAGGAGAACCTGTATTATTTTAGATAAGTGACTAACTAGTCTTATTTATACAGCTAAATTCTATCTTGCCCTCCTAAAAAAAACCCATTTGCTTAATTTTGACAGCGGGCGGTAATCTCCGCCCGATGATCAGCCTCGGCGGGGAAAGAAATATCTCCAGGCATTTGTGTGTGTGTGTGTGTGTGTGTGTGTGTGTGTGTGTGTGTGTGTGTTGTGTGTGTGTGTGTGTGTGTGTGTGTGTGTGTGTGTGTGTGTGTGTGTGTGTGTGTGTGTGTGTGTGTGTGTGTGTGTGGGTGTGTGTGTGTGTGTGTGTGTGTGTGTGTGTGTGTGTGTGTGTGTGTGTGTGTGTGTGTGTGTGTGTGTGTGTGTGTGTGTGTGTGTGTGTGTGTGTGTGTGTAAGGGAACCCGTCCGTGACGTCACGACGCCGTCAAGTTCCGCCGCGCCTTTCCTTTTGGATCCACGCGGCGCTCGTAGCCTGGCAACCGGGCGGACGTGACGTCACACGCAGCCGCTGGATTCAAACTCTCGGAAGCCGCGTTCCAGAGGGCGTCAGTTCGAAGCGGAGCGGTTCTGCCGTTGTTTCCTGCTCGCCGCTCCGCTACGGGCCGTCCCGTCCCGTCCCCTTCCTTCCGTGGAAGGGAGGGCGCGGTGCTGTCGGTGCCGCCGCCGCCGCCTTGCCATCTTAAAGCGCCCTTCTCCGCCCGGCTGTCTCCATCTAGCGCTCCAGAGGCTTTGCTGAGGTGTGTATGGGGACGCCCTTGTCACGTCGGCCCTTTTGTGTGGAAAGAAAGGGAGGCCTTGCCTTGGAAGGCGGTTATGGCCCTTGACCGATGTCTACGGAGATTCTCAGGCCTCCAGGGTCCCAAAGGTGCTTTTTTCAAGAGGCAACTGGATTTTCTTGGTTGGGTTTTTTTTTTTTTTGGGTGCTTTGAAGACGTTTCGCTTCTCTCATCCAAGAAGCTTCTTCAGTTCTGATAGATGGTGGGGAATGAACGGGCTATAGAAGAGTGAGGAAAAATTCTCACAACAACAACACTTCTTCATCCTCCCTACCCATCGGGAAGGAGATATAGAAGCCTAGCCAGCCTGCACAAACAGGCTGAAGAACAAGTTTTTATCCCTGGGCTGTCAGACTCCTGAATGCGAAATAACATCATAACTACGTAGTACGATGGACTTGCAGGGCCGGCGCAACGTGTAACGTGTTCACACCGGTGCAATAGGACTGGGGGGTTGTTTAATATGATTTATTGGGTTAGGGATTTTCTGTCTTCAGTGTGAGTTGTATTGTGTTGGGTGGGGGGGCTGCACTGAGGGAGCAGGGCAGAGAGGAGACTTGGAGGTCCTCTAGTCCAGCCCCCCCCCCCCCCCCCCCCGCTCAAGCAGGAGCATCTGTACCATTTTAGACCAGTGACTGTCTAGTCTCTTCTATGAAAGGATTTATATTCCTTGCAAACAACTTGTCATTTGCATTCTTTTTAGAGGGTCGGTGAGGCCACTTGGAAGGGTTCACATCTTCCAAGAAGGCTCCACAACTATTTGCACTACTCAGGTGACCCTGAGGACACAGATAAACCTCCAAGTGGCCTCAATGACCCTCTAAAAGTATGCAAAGGGCCAGCTGTGCAAGGAATATAAATCCTTCCTTTCCCCACCATCCAGTCAGAGCTGAAGAAGCTTCTTGGATGAAAATGTCTTCAAAGGAAAAACAAGAAAGTCCAGTTGTTTCCTGAAAAAGCACTTTTCAATCTTGAAAGGGACGCACACTCGTCCCTCTTAGGGCTGGAAGGGAGACCACTAGGAAATCCCCCATGTGTCTCCATTGGGACATCATGGAACCAGGCAAGGACAAAGCCATTTCGGAGCCCCTTTGCCAAAAGAAAGTCTTGGATGCGCTCAATAGTGGGTGTGACTTGAGGACTTCTTTATCTTATCACAACAGTTATGCTTTTCTAAAGTTGATTACTTGCTCAGATCAAAACACCCTAAAACAATAAAGCACACAAGGCAAAAATGTTGAATGTAGTGGACTCCTTGCAAGAGGTGAAAAGCCATTATATATTCAGGTGTGAACAGCTAGTATGCATATCTCTAGTTCTAGAATTTTCCAGTTTTAGTTTCATAATGAGAAATAGCGTATTTTGTCAGCTTTTAAGTAGCATACCTTAATTCTGTTATGCTGTGAGCATAACATTTGGCCTTGCATTCCTTTGTAATCTATGTGATTCTCTTGCTTCTGTGTAATTGATTCTAAAATGGGCATTTAATTAGCATTTTATTAACTATTTTATAATATTACCTAGCTTTATTTTCTTTATATATATAGTTTATATAAAACTCAAGGCAGCGAACATGCTTAATACATCTGTCTATTTCCCCATGACAAGGTGAGATGGATTGGGTTGAGAGGGAGTGGCTGGCAGTTATCAAATTTTTAAAGCTAGTTTTCTAGCCCAGCCCTTTTGTGCATATCATATTTGAAGGTATTTCCATTTACTTCCGTTTAATGTTTAATAAGGGCAAGTCTGAGATGAAGTCTTTTAATCGATAAAATGATTGTTCACCTCAGCTGATGCGCATGAAAAAATACAGGCCCATTTTCCCTCTACAAAACAAGCAACAATTGGAGAGACATTTTAATTGGAGGAATGGCAGTTTCTCCATACCACTTTGCTCTCAAATTTATCTGGTTGCATTTCAGGTTTTATTGTTTTTAAAAGCGATACATCTAGTTGCAAGATTCTTTATTGTAATATCTTTGACATAAGCTACCTCATTTGGATAGGTTTAACATGGATAGTTGAAGACAATTAACATCTACATTGTGTCTGTTTTCTTTAATTTCCTCATAATGTCAATTTTTAAGATTTAATGTTCTATTTGGGAAGAATTTTTGCTGTTTTACCAAAATGTTCAGGGGGTTTTGAAAGGAATTTTTATTTTTCATAATATTTGTGATAGGGCAGAATCGTACATGTTTTTATCTGTCACTTTTAAAACACTGTTGATATACAATAAAAATATGAATAAATGGATTAGTTGTAATAATATATATTAGAAAGGAATTCCCAAGGGCTTGTACGATTTGTGGGTTTGGAATTTAGAGGGATTTTTTTCAAAAAATCTTGCAGATGAAGTGGTTGCTTCTTGAATAGCGCCTGATGATTTTTTCCGAGAACCTCAAGAATGACATCAAAGAAGTGGGGATTCAAGTCTGGTGATTCCAAATCTGAAACAGAATTGCAGGTGTATAAGAAAGAAAATGCAGCTTTGAAAAAGTCTTTGGAAGAAATCATTAAGGAGAAGAGAAAAATGACACCCGAAGAAAGGAAGAGGCTTTTGGAGGTGATATAAATTAAAATAATCCTAGTTTTGCATCTAAATTAAAACCTGGATATTAAGATTGAGACAAAGTATTTTGTAAAGCAAGGGCTTCATTTTTCATCTAATTACAAAAGAAACTAATTGATAATGGGATGTTAACCCTTACTGCAAGGGTGGGGAATGATGGCCCTTTTATGACTTGTGGACTTCAACTCCCAGAATTCCTGAGCCAGCCATGCTGCCCAACTCTGCCTAACTGTAATGTGATGTCTTACCAGGGGTGATAGATACCCCTGCTTTTTCTTTGTGCCTTGCTGTGCAGCCTGTTAGCATTGCTTCTAGATTTCTGCAACCACAACCACATCTGACAATGGGATGGCAAGTTATTCTTCCCTAAGAAATGCTAAATGTTTGCTTTATTCCTTCACGTATTAGCTCCTTTTGTTCTAGTGCATATGAAGCACTCAGGACAAGGGGTGGCTCCTTCACTGTTGCTTTTATGACCCTTCCTTCTACTCTTCTCATAGAGTCTGTATATTTGAAAGCCTATATGAACTATTGTAATTTAAATAGTTGAACTGTTTTGAACTATTTAAATTCAAATTTAATTGTAAATAGCTGACAGTTGATAATGACAGATGAAATCATCTGAGCTGTTTATGTACATATAAGTTATTTATATTGTGCAGTTCATGTTAAGACTCCATTTTTTGGTTAGTTAAAGTGGTGGAGGCTCTTCTATTTTTTGTTTCGCTTTCATATTAACATTAAATCCTTGATTTCATAAGAAGTGAATTTAGCTGTAGCTTTTTTTTTTGTCTTGTTTTAGTTCTTTGGGGAGTTTTTTAATGCTTTGACATACTAGACATATTTTGGTAAAATGTGAACATTTTAATGAGAGTGTACCTACAATTAAATGGGCAGTTTCTAGGCAGAATAGTACAATCATATTCCAAATCTTGTCCCATAAGCTTAATTTTACTATCTTTATTCTCCAATAGATTAATATTTGCCAGCATGATTAGCCGTTTCTACTCAATCAGGAATTTATAGTTTGGAAACTGACCTTTTCTTGTTAAATGCTTGCTTGTACTTCGTATAGAAAATACTTGCCCTTGAAACAGAAATAGAAGAATATAAAAATAAACTTGGAGTGAAAGATCAAGAAATCCAGGTCCTGAAAGATGAGTTAAGAGGTGGAAGCAAAAGTACGGATGCTGCTTCTCTACGAGGTCAGCTAGAAGAGAAAACAAAAGAAGTGGCTAAGCGGGAACAGCTACTAAATTCGCTCTCGGAAGAGGTAGAATGGCAGAAAAATCACATATCTGCAGTTTCTGCAAGATGTACAGATCTTGAAAGCAGAGCCAGTAATGTCCAGCTCGCCCAGGTGAGTTTATAAAAATGTGTGCAATGTTACCTAAGCTTTTTCCTCATACTGCTATTTGGAAGTTATTTGGGACTGAACACCTTTTGAACTCTTTAGCCTTGGATAGGGTAGCACTTGCCCGTTTAAGAGTGATGTGCAATCTGGGGGGGGGGGGGGGGTTTGTCTGAACTCACAGCTCATGCTGAGTGAGGAATGCTTGCACAGCTTCATTTGGTGTATGCCCTTTCCTAGATTAGAATGCCCTTCACTTTGCAGTTTACTGCAGTGCACTTTACATTGGGCTGCCTTTGAACTCCACCTGGAATCTTCAGCTGATCCAGAATGCAGTGGCACAGGCAGTGTCGGGTGTGCCTGTTTGATTCACAAGCAGTTTGCTTCCAGATGTAATTCAAGATACTGGTTTTGACCTATGAAGCCCTTTGTTGCCTAGAGCCTGATTTTTTGAGATATTGCCAATCTCCCATCGTATCAACCTGTATGGCTTGATCCGACAGGGTTGATGTACTCTAGGTTCTGTATATCAAGCAGTGCTATCTGTCACAGCACTGCTTGATAATCGGAAAAAAATAGAGAAATTGGGCGGCTCTTGGCCAGATGATGTTCCAGAGAGTCTTAAAGACCTGGTTCTATTCCCTGACTTGTAGGCTGTATGTATGATGCTATTGGCCAAAGTCACTGTGTTGTCCATTTTATTTGGATTGCACATTGCTGTATGCTTTTTATGCTGTGAACCACTCAGAGTCAACAAGTTGGGAAATCTCTGAGCTGAATTAAATAAATATGAAAAATTGGGTCGTTGCAAAGTAGTAATAAGGAAATGAAACAAGATGGCTTAGTGATCTGCATCAAATCACTAAGATCAAAGTGATAACCACCATTTTCTAATTCCCCACCCCACAACAGTAATAAGCATGCCATCACCACAGTTGAAGTCTTCGGAACTAAGGTAGTATCTGCTTCATGATGCACTGATCTCAGCTATCACCAGTCTCTGGAATTGTTTGGTCAAAATTTCTAAGTGTCCTCCTGTATGTGACCAGTTAATTCTTTATTATTAAGGTTAGATGTAAGCCTGACTGCATTAAAGCCCAAATTTGACATTGCATTCTGAGAGGTTGACTCAAACTAATCTTTGAAAGCCCTTTGGTTGCCTTAACTTCAGAAGATACCTTTCCTCCCTCATGGCTAACTGAAATAAATCCAAGATTGTCCACACAGTAACTGATCTTGACTGGCTACCAAAAAGTTCTTCAGATATTAAAAAAAATACCTGATTCTGAACTTAGACTTAAAAAGGACCTAAGTTTTACTGCAAAACCCTGTAATTTAAGCATGTTAGGGAGACCATTCACAGGTGCCATATTATAACATGGCAGCATTTTGTACTGAACATAGAGAAGAGCTTTTACATTAGCCAGACTTAGAGCCTTACTTTCAGCTCCTCTGGAAGAGAGATATAATGGCACACATGTGCAAGACTGTTTATGCCTGTGTCTCTTAGAGGAAGTTGAATCAACTGCATGTATCCTTTGTTGTCCCTTTTATTGAAACAAGAATAACATTTTATTCACATCCCCCTTAACAAACAGACATGGTAAAAACAGATGTTGTTCTTATTGTTTCCCTCCTAGCAGATATTTCAGAAATGACTTTCAGGAGAGCAGTTAAATTAATAAAATAGTAATCTCATGGACCTTCGGGATAAATTTTAAGTTTGACATTTCAGTATTCCAAACTCTTAACTAAACAGTCAGTACCGCTAATAAATTCATATTCATTTATTTCTGTCTGTCTCTCTACCGCTGTTTGAATTAGCCTAAGATATTACTCACTCCTTATCTATTTTGTTACTTTTGTTTTTAGTAAATTCTATATATTTTGATGCTCTGTTTTATTTTTATACTCCATTTCTAAATTGAAATTCTGTTAAAATAGTAGTTTTGAGTAAGTACTCTTAATAATGAAGTTAACAAATTAATTATTATCTTTAGCATCCTTAATTTAAACTTACTAGACAGATACAGTGGTCCACACAGAATATTTTAATTTTGGATTATGCTGCTGAGCGAGAATAAATGTCCTAAAATTTCACCCTGGCTTCTTGTTATTTCTAATGGGAGATCAGGTTTTCATAGCATCTGAGCAAAATTTAACTGATAACTACGTGTAATTAAGTCAACTGTAAGGATAGATGAAAAATGGACATACATAATTTTTATTTCTATGTACACTCGTACTAGATGCTGAAAAGTGCTGTTGTGGACATTCCTCTGTTAAAAGTCAAGTTGAACAGATTATAAATTTGATTCCATTGACCTGATTAGCTAAGAGACATTATAGTAAGGATTAGAAAAGTACCACTTATTGAAAGTAGATGGCAGTAGAGTATCAATCCTATAGAGTTTGAAAATTAAAATACCAAATGCCACAGTGATAAATCAGGTGCTTGTCCAAATCAGGAAGGATGTTTATAGATATTGGGTAATTGAAACATGTCAGCCATTATGCAAAACAATAGGCACAGTTAAACTCAAATATATGCATGCTGGCTGAATAGGTTAGGGACATATTACTCTCTTATCCTGAAGCTGTAATATACAATGTTTTAAAATAATAGATTCTAGTCTAGGTAATCTGACACTTATCCAAATACTTTTAGAATTTCTGTCATTTTTTGCCAATTACATGAAACTTTGCTTTTTGTAGGTAGCTCATTAGATTCTGTTCTGGAATTTATTAAAGAATCTCCTTTGAGTCAGTTCAACTCATGATGAAATAGAAAAGACCATGTTGGTGTTGGTACAGAAACAGTTTGCCTTCTGCTTCCTTCCTTCCTTCCTTCCTTCCTTCCTTCCTTCCTTCCTTCCTTCCTTCCTGCCTGCCTGCCTGCCTGCCTCCCTCCCTCCCTCCCTCCCTCCCTCCCTCCCTCCCAAGATGTAAACCATAGGATTGTATGGTGGTCTCTCATCTAAATATAACTAGGTTCCATCCGGCTTAGTATTTTTTAAATTTGGCAAGCCCTTTTATTCTGCAGAAGGAAATATTTAGTAGAAATATGATATGTAGAATCTTGAATGTTTTAGCAGTTTGAAAAATTACAGAAACCCAGTGCTTTCAAGGCATAACATAGCAGTACCTACTCCTATCTTCAACACACAGGCATCTGCTTTCAGTTAATGGAATTGAACTGTTTCACTATTCTATTTTTTAACAGGAAAAGGCTGTGCACTGTGCTGGAATGCCAGTCAACATACATGAAATTGAAATTCAACTGAAAGATGTAAGGCATTTTACCAAATACATTATGTTTTATTTAAGGCATAAAATAACATTATATAAATACAGATAATGTAGAATTATCCTATATTAGCCTGTTGGAGCTAATTGTCGCTGGTTTCCCAACAAAGAGTATAAAGGGATGTAGTTGTAATAGGGAGATTAGGATCAAATACAAAATATCTTTTTTTTTTTTTTTTAGTAAGCAGTCAGATCTGTAGCTCCCCACAGTCATGTTACAATGGGAATACTGGGAACAACCAGAAGTTGAGGAATAATTGGAAGTACCATTCACTGTGCATCACCCATATAAAACTTTGAACGGTTACCGAATGAGTGGTTGTTAACCAAGGATTACTTGCATATGATTATATTACCCTGTAAAATAGTATATTGTACCAGTTCAGATATTGTGCTGAGGCAGATTTAAATCTGGGCTCAAGTTTCTTCATTCAGGGAGGAGGCAGGAACTGAATTTGGTTCCATGGACTGCACGAAAGTGAGATAATTATAAAATGCTATGCAACAAAAGCTAATAACTTGCTGGTTTATGCCATACCTTTGTAAGCTTAACATTATACTATATATGAGTCACTATCAGTATAATTTAAAATGCCTTAGTCTGAAAAGGTATAATCAGACTCCTTATTTTTTGCTACTATAAAGTAACATGGATCTCCTCCAATGTCATGAATAAATTAGACTTTTATCCTCAATGTTTGGGAATGTATCCATTCAAAGAGCAGCACATTATCTCATCTAAAATGCAATAAATCAATTAAATTGTAATTTATCCATTCAACTATTAGTGTATTTGTCTGTAGGCAGAACCCTGATCTGATGTGATGCCTCCCCACTTAATTAGCTGTTGCTATAGTTCAGTCACACAAAGAGCATCTGGTCAGCAGTTAAGTCTGTGCACCTGACCTGCATCTGAAGCGTCATAATATTTCTCTGCTTTTCTGAATAAAACAAACAAATTGGAGGTATGGCAGGCAGCCAACATTTCATTTCCCATTCTTAGCTGGAAAAGAGGGTCAAACCATGTTGAAAGCTTAACGTGGGCTTTCTGTTTATGCCTTGGCAACTTTTGCTATGAAATGGCACGTCCAGTTCCAGTAACATTAAGAATGGATGATTAAACAAAAATGCAGTATAGTTCAATCTGCTTACTTCAAACAAGGCCAGGGACTGAAAGCCTTAGATTACATCTCCTAAATATTGCTATCATGTCTATATCTCTGTTTTTTCATTTTAAGAAAAATATAAAGAGGACTGTGAAAATAGTACTCTGAGCTATAAAGAAAGTACTTTAAATTCCATTAATAGTAACCTTTATGTCTCATGAAATTCAAAAACTACTTTAATATAATACAAATGATGTCTGAGTAAAGAAAAGCTTTTGTTGAGCTATTGAAAGCCATATGGATTCAAATAAAGTTTAAAAATTGAATAATTATTAAATTGTTCGACCTGCATGTTATCATAAGCTTTTTATCTGTAAAGGAATAAGGAATTTCTTGTCAGGGTCTTTTAATCTCCTACATATTACTACACATTAAATGCACTGTTTTACTTTTGTGGAAATTTTATTTCAACAAGGAGCATTTTTTTCTAAAACCAAGCAGCCACTTATGGATACTGTGATATCATTTTTATGCATTTATATGGCATCTTGTTGAATGCCATCTTTCACAGGTAGCAACAATTATAGCAATCAAAATCAAAAGAATATATTAATACATTTATGTAGTTAACATTAATAAAAATAAATAAGATACTCTTCTTGTACCAGTATATGGATGTGCTATATAAAGTAGTAGAGTCACTTTGCTTCTATTTTAAAGATGTGTGGTTTTGGAATTCATTGCCATAACTTTGAAGGGAATGGATAGGTTCCTTGGGAGTTACATTAGGGGAGGTTTGCTGCTGAATAAAGGCCCTGCCCTTAATGTTTATCATTCTATTTTGAATAAAAATATTTAGCAATAATCAGCTTCTGGAATGTATATTTAAAAAAGGTTACAGTTTTATACAGTTCTTCCAAGTACTGTATCTTCAGTTGAAAATACTTATAAGTAGGCATACTTATATCAATTATAACAAATATTTTTCTGAGATTTTTGTAATCCAAATCGTTTGTTTGGTATTGTTAATTCACTGAATAATTATAAAAAATAAGTACAAATTAAAGAGCTTTCAGAAACCTCTCAATAGGGAATTATTCAAAATATTTATAAAAGATGGCATGCATGCGTTTACCCTGTTCTTCCGAAAGTTTGTTGATCTTAAAGAAAAGTACATTCTAGTCTTCATTTACAGTTCCTTAACTTATTTGTAGTTGCTTTTTCCTACATGCTACACCAGCCATGCATGGTGACAACACCTTTTTATACAGTGTGTATATTTTTTTTCACACTCAGTAAAGAGGGCTGGGCAGAGATCTCTAGTTCTGAAAATTACTAGTTTTAAATTTTTACTTTTCTTTGTAGGGTGGTTTTTGTATGGTAAAGTTCAGAATAATCTGAAAGTAAAAGTTTCATATCCTTTTTGGAACTGAATTAGTTCTTTAGGTCCAGGTTTCTAACCAAAGCTAATATCACAAGCCAATAAATTGCAGATGCTTCAATGCCGGGTGTACAATGACTGATCAAGATTAGGATCAAAATATGGGACTAAATAAGAGCCAACTGTTGTAGTGCAGGGGTCCCCAATCCCCAGGCCCACTATTCCCACCGACTCCCCACCGGTTTGCAAAGTCAAAAAGATTGGATAACTGTTGTAGTGGTTAAGGCATCTGATTAATAAACATGAGAATGTGAGTTCTAATCATGCCTTAATTATAAAACTTGGTGACCTTGGGCCAGTCTGTCTCTTTTAGCCCTAGGTAGAATAGCAATAGCAATATATGCACTTAGACTTATATTCCGCTTCACAGTGCTTTACAGCCCTCTCCAACTGGTTTACAGAGTCAGCATATTGCCCCCAACAATCTGAGTTCTCATTTTACTGACCTCAGAAGGATGGAAGGCTGAGTCAACCATGAGCTGGTGAGGATTGAACTCCTGGCAGTCAGCAGAATTAGCCTGCAATACAGCATTGTCACCACTCCACCATCACGGCTACATCAAATCTTTTCTGAAAATCTTGCCAAGAAAACTGCAAGGCAATCCAGGCAATCACCAGGAGTCAACAATGACTTGAAGGTGATAGCTAGCTAGCTAGCCAGACAGACTGACTGACTGACTGACTGACTTATCCCCAGGGCTCTAATTATGAACAAAAAGTCACACAGTCCTGCATGAAATGAGTAATGTTAAAAAATTCCATTGGCACCATAGAAATAATACACATACATTTCCCTTCTACCAAATCAGCTGCCACACACTTATACTACAAAAAATACAATACGTGAGGAAGTCACATATTGAATTCATTGTGTACTGTGGCTCTAAATTCTATGTGTGAAAGAACAAAAAATTATAAACTCTTTAAATATTAAGCTGTATATTTGGGAAGACGTAAAAACACTGCGCAGCTTCACAGGTATACTTATACTTGGAGGACAACCTTAAAATTGTATTGGAATCATTAATCTTGGGGGAGGCTTTAAAGCAGGGGTCTCTGACCTTGGCAACTTTAAGACTTGTGGACTTCAACACCCAGAATTCTCCAACCAGATTTTTGTTGAAAATTGCCTGAGGTGATCAGAAATCCGAGCTGGTTGCCAAACACCAAGATTGTGATCATGTGATTGTGGGATAATTCAATGGTCATAAATGCGAACATAGGTAGCAAATCATTTTTTCCAAGGTTGTTGTAATTTTGAACCATGGTTCGTTCAATAATCAAGAACTACCTGTAATCTCCAGCAATAGTCATTCTTCAAGGGGTGGGGGAGGCTTTTGTGGCCAAAATAAGCAACAGTGGCTTATTTTAAATGTTTCTTTTTGATTCTTTCTCAAGCCATCTTTTTTACTTCTGTTCTTTTTCTAGCCTCGTCTTTAGCACTCTTCTTTCTTTCCTTCCTTCCTTCCTTCCTTCCTTCCTTCCTTCCTTCCTTCCCTTCCTCCCTCCCTCCCTCCCTCCCTCTCTCCTTCCTTCCTTCCTTCCTTCCTAATTTATACTTTATTTCACTAACAACTCTCGTACATGTGTATGACTGTACTGTCATAGGTACCCAGTCCATCTAAAAGGTGCTAGAATAGTTGAATAAGAAAATGTTTGGCATGTGATAGAGCAAGTTTGATTCTCAATGTGGCCTACACCTAAGAAAGCACGATTTGAAGGCTGTGATAAATGAGTTTGTCCTAATTCTTCAAGCTCATTGCCACTGTCCTACTTTTATGTGACTCATAGTTTGAACAAGCCAAGGAACAATATGTAACAAATGTACTGGGACATTATCATATAGCTGCCTGAAATCTTGTTGATTTAATCTAGAATTCACTTTTGAGTAGATGCATTGAATTGCATTGTTCCTTCTATTGGGTTCCGTTAAAAATTAAGGTAAAATAACATCCAAATCTATTGTCTAATTTAACCTGTTGCTTTTCAAGTTATATTTGAAAGTGGTTTTCAAACACCGTTGTGGCTAGCTATCACTGTATATTGAACCACATCAATTTACAATCATTTCCCACAAGAAGAGAATGTGTGCTGAGAATGAAAAAAAAATACAGAGATAATTTTTCACTGGTTTAGTATTTGCTTCTGCTGTACAGGTAGTCCTCGACTTACAGCAGTTCATTTAGTGACCATGCAAATTGCCAACAGCACTGAAAAAAGGGACAACCTTTTTTTTCACACGATAGCCGTTGCAGCATTCCCATGGTCACATGATCAAAATTCGGCTGCTTTGGCCACTGGTTCATCTTTATGACAGTTGCAGTGTCCCGGAGGTTATGTGATTTACCTTTTCCCAGCTGACAAGCAAAGTCAATGGCCAGATTCACTTAACAGCCATGTTAATAACTTAACATCTGCAATGATTCACTTAACAACTATGGCAAATGGGGTAAAAGTAACTTAACAAGTGTCTCATTCAACAATATAAATTTGAGGTTGCATTGTGGTTGTAAGTTGAAGACTACATGTATTCTACTGAAATGTGTTAATAGTAGGAGTCATGCAAAAGAGACCTTGCAAATAGGATGCAATTGATATATTTGATTTACAGAAAAGGGAGATAAAACAAGTAGTTGTTTTTTTTCTCATAGAAGTCTCACTCACTTTCAAATCTCTTTACAGGCTTTAGAGAAAAACCAGCAGTGGATAATATATGACCAGCAACGGGAAGCTTATGTTCAGAGTGTCTTAGCAAGAATTTTTGACCTGGAACAGCAGCTAAAAACTGTGATCCAAGAGCAAGCAAAAGAAGCTAGGACAGCAGGTATAGACTGATTAGTCTCCAAACTGCGTAGCATTAAAAAAAATTAACTTATATTGGTCAGATTTCCATATATTGTTCAAAACATTGTAGCTGTAAGAAGAGCTCTTCTAAAAACTGTTTTTGTGCCACAGTATTTTTTTAGGAGAGAGAGTGGGAGAGAAAATACATTCCGGTCATTGTTTAGATCCTGGACTCCCAATTTTGTCAATAGGAAAACAGGATTTATTATCTGGTCTGACATATAAAGCTCGCTTTTTAGATGTTGATTGAAAAATGCATATCATTCCAACTGAGTTTACAATATTTCTGAGAACAACTTCCATAGTACAGAGATGCAGGCAAGACTTCTTGATAACAAGTTTCACGCTTTCTTCTGCTATTAGGTATCTGTTTTGTGCCTGAATAGTTATTAGTATTATATTTTTTTATCTATGCTATGTTTGATTAAGCATCTGTATGCCATGAGACATATTGGCATTGCTGACATTAATTGTCTAGAAAGATTAAAGTTGATAAAATTTTAAACTTAAGTCTGGAAACATAAGGATCAAAATTCTAGTGCAGTATCTCCCAGTAATGTTTTTTCCTATTCCTGTTGAGATTGTTCTGTTGAGATTGTTCTGGAATCATGCTCCTTCTTCTCCAAGATTTCTCCTGCATCCCATTGTAATTACAGACTAGAGAAGAATAGTGGTAATTTTCTCCTTCCCACCTTGCCATACCACTACTGGTTCTGTTTTCCCAAATTCTGCCACTAGTTTTAAAGACATTTTATTGTATAGAGGAGAGGAAGGGTTTAGACATCTCTCCGTGCCTGCATCCCTAAATTCTCTCTTTATCTTGAATGATGGTAGAAATGTAGACTAGAGTTTGCAGCCTTGTACTTTCATTACAATTTCCAAGATACATTTTACAAAACTGCTATCATCATTACCATGTAAAATTAGTGAAGGAAGGACTCTTGATAGTCAAAAATAGCATATTAGTAGGACTTGTTACTTGAACTAGAAAAGTTGCTATAACAACACATTCAAAGATGGAATGGCGGCATGGAAGAAACTGTCAACATTGGATCTTCATCATTGAGAAGGATATTTTGTGGACTAATGTATTCATGCTTGTTGGTTTTTAAGGTCACTAAATGAACCTTATTAGAGATTTGAACAGAGGTACATCAAGCACTGTAGTACCCTTGGAATATGCTGTAGAATTCCAGTAATACAAAGAGCCATATGGAAAGCTATAAGAAGTTTCTGCATCAGAATACAATTAAATCAGGTTTCCCATTTTGTACCACCTATATTCTTACAAAAAGAACAGATTGTCATGCAAAACCATATTGGTTTAGAACTATAAGTACTTTATAAACAGCAGATAAAGTGATATTCTTATTTATTTAAAGTACCGTAAAATAATTTATGCTCGTGTTAGAATATTTTACAAAACAAGTGCTTAATGTTGCTAGTATCTGTGAAACATTCTGCAGTTTTTGGTTACATTTTCATATTTAGATTATTGAATTATTTTGTTTTCAATTTTAATATTCTGTAAGCAAGAAACAAGTATACAAGATAGCGGCCCAAAACAGTATATCTTAAAATTCAGTCATTTGAAATAATTAAATAGTATTATAGTATGGGTGCTAAATTTAAAAAATTCCAACAATCTACTGCAGGGAGGTCAAACTGGATTTCTTTTGAGGGCCGGATCAACACTGTAGTTCTCCGAGGGCCAGCAGAGGGGGAGGCACGGAGTGGCGGGGGCGGGGAGGAGATGGGACAGATGCTTCCTGCAGCACTTTGCCGGCCAAAACATGCATGGCCTCCTGTGTCTCATTTTTGGCCTCCATGGCTGCCTGCAGCACTCTGGCAGGTTGTGCAGGGGCCATTTTTGGCCTACAGAGTGCTGCTGGAGGCCGGGGAGACCAAAAACAGGCCTCGTGGGGCCTCCACGCGGCCTGTTTTTGGACGGTAGAGGCTGGGGAGGCTGAAAACGGGCCTCCTGGGGGGTCGTATGTGCCTTCCTGCGGCCTATTTTTGCCGGCAGAGGCACCATGGGCCGGTCCTTTGATATTTCCAGGCCAGATTTAAGCAGCCGATGGTCCAGATCCGGCCCGCAGGCCTTGAGTTTGACAACCCTGATCTACTATGATTATGATTTCTGGACTCACTATGAGAAGATGCCAACATGTGAAATACTATGATGCCATAATTCAGTTCTTATATCTAAAATGCAATATGCTTTTTCCCTTCATATTTTCACATATTTGTATATTCATTTTTCCATGTCTTTTTTGTTCTTCTCCGTGTCCCTTTCCCCGCTGTCGGAATTCGTAAAAGGAGACAAGCAGAGATACTACGAACAGATGTTGGCCACAGCTGAAAGAAATCTGGAAGCTGAAAGGCGAATAGTCTCCCAGCTACATGCTGACCTTAACGAACTGCAAAGGAAGTATGATGAAATTAAGCAAGAGGCCTTGAATGCAGAAGGCCTCTTCAAGCTGCAGAAGCAAACTGACATTAAGGCTCTTCAGGATGAAAACCACCTCAAAGGGCAGCTCTTGCAAAGAGTTACACATGAACATGAAGCGACCAGGAAAAAGCTGGATGAAGAAAGGAAGCGTGCACATACCCTCTCAATTCAGGTTTTTGTACTGTTGCCTAGATGCCTTTTTATCACAGGCTCATCCCGCAGGTTGGGAATTCAGGGTATTGTAGGTTCATTCCATTTGGGTGGTGGAAGGTTGGGTTGGGATTACCAGAGTTGTGTCTGTCTAAAGACACTTTAAAAATAAAACCCCTCTAAATGGTTCTGCTAATGTGGTTAACAACCTGGGTGCATATCTTAACCCTGATTTTGGCAGTGAGTGAAACAAATCAGGTGGAAGGGAATTGTACAGACAATCCTTGACTTACAACAGTTCATTTAGTGACTGTTCAAAGTTATGCTGTCATTGAAAAATGTGACTTACAACTGTTTTTCACAGTTACGACCTTTGTAGCATCCTTTCACGTGATCAAAATTCAGATGCCTGGCAACCGGTTCATGACCCAAGGTCATGTGATCTCCTTTTGCGATCTGACAAGCAAGGTCAAGGGAGAAGTCAGATTCATTTAACAACAGGGTTGCTAACTATCAATTATAGTGATCCACTTAACAACGGAGGCAAGAAAGATCGTTAAAATGGGGCAAAACTCACTTAACAAATGTCTCACTTAACAACAGAAATTTTGGGCTCGATTGTGGTCGTACGTCGAGGACTGCCTGTATTTGTAGCATGCAGTTCTTCAACCCTCTGCTCTAAATATATTCACCTAACATTGCTTTAAATATCAACAAAGGTGATAACGGCATGGATACACCTGCATCCTGTCTAGGCTTGCCATTGAAGGTTATCTCTGTATTTGGACCAATATACAGTAGCTGAGAAGAAGTTGGGAGTCATAACTGTGAAGAAAAGGAGATCTTGCTCCTCTTCATTACACTTCATCACTCTCTTCATTACAGCAGAGTGAACTGTAGGAAAATAAACCCATGGAAATGTCTTATATCTATTATTTGGAAGCTTTTTATGTATTTTTGTCACATAATCTCCTGTTCATATTTTACAGGTTGAAGTGCTCCACAAGTCTTTGATAAAACAGCAAGAAGAACAGACAAGAATAGCAGCTTTGGAACAGCAGGTACAAAATTATGCTCTCTCTCACACTGAGCATAGATCTCTGTGACTAATATCCACGACACTAATATTCATTTTAATGTAAAAAATGTGTTCTAATATAGAAACAGTATACATTTCTGTGGTCCAGAAATCGTAATGTTATTAATGTAATTTGTCATTAATGACTGCTCATGTTTAAGTTTTGAACAGAATATGAATTTAAAATTCATTCAAGATTAATTGTATCCCCTTTGTAGTCTTTACAAGTCTTTACTTCTTTTATCAAACTATTCTTCCCTTTTTATCTATAAAAAGGTAACATTTATTTTGTGTATCGACAGATATTTAAATGGAACATGTAATTATCAGCTATGAAAGAAAAAACAGGAGGTCAGTTCATTTTTTCATCCAGTTCTTTTCTTCTAGATCCAGTCATGCACATCAGACTTTGAGAATGAAAAACTAGATCGCCAGAACCTGCAAATCCAGTTGAACAAAGTCCTTAAGGAACTGCGGAAGGCAAGAGACCAAATTACTCGTCTTGAGCCCTCAGTAAGTATTTATTGGTGGATTAATTAAAGACTGAATCTTTACTAGAGCTGTGCAGAGATCCAGCATGAAAGACAAAATAAGAGTTACTCTGTGGTAAAATGGGTAGCCAATAAATTGGATGGATGCATGGGGAAGTGGGGAAGGAAAGGAAAGGAAAGGAAAGGAAAGGAAAGGAAAGGAAAGGAAAGGAAAGAAGGAAAGATTTACAGCAGGTGTACATATACTTCTAGCATCTGTCAGGAACACCATAACCCAAATGAGTCTTTTTTTGAGATATGATAGCTGTTCACTCTTGGGGAAAGGCTGAATGTGACTCTGAAGTCACATCTTCAGACATCTCTGAAGTCACATCTTCAGACATCTCTGAAGTCATTTTGCTCTTCAAATCTAGACCTGCACAGCTCTAAGACATCCTGTCCATTTTCCACAGCATGTATACTGAACTGCAATTGTTGATGAGTTTGTATTTTATTTGCCAGATGTGTTGTTTTTTATAACAATATCACACACTGTTGCAACTTCTGACTATTCGATTCTGTACTGACTCCTCTGAGAACTTTTGTCTTTGGTTTTAAGACAGCATCTGGTGGGGAATTTAGAAACATGGTAGATAATATCAAGACAGTCAGACAGACTTCTGATATAAAACATTAATGTCTTTTTTTTCTTTACAACTCACTAGATTCTGTTACATTCCAGTCAGATATTCTTTTTTAATTCAATTATATTTAGATATTCGACCCCTTAAAAGAAATTTTTATTTTTTTATTTTATATCAAATTTATATACCGCCCTTCTCCCTAAGGACTCAGGGCGGTGTACAGCCAAATAAAAACATAAACTACAAACATTAAAATACTATTAAAAAGATATATATAAATTTGGCCCCATAATTAAAAAACAGTTACAAACCAGTTAAAAACATTTAAAAATGTTAAGCCAGCCCGGCTTGCTGAAAAAAGAAGGTTTTAAGGGCACAGCGGAAGGCACCGAGGTCTTGGATTCTCCTTATCTCTGGGGGCAGTTGGTTCCAGAGGGTGGGTGCCCCCACAGAGAAGGCTCTCCCCCTGGGGGTCACCAGCCTACATTGTTTGGCTGATGGCACCCCGAGGAGGCCCTCTCTGTGGGAGCACACGGGTCGATGGGAGGCCGTCGGTAGCAGTAGGCGGTCTCGGAGATATCTAGGAGAAATACCGTTGGCATGCATTATAAATTATATACTGTCATATTTAAATGCAACAGTTTTTTTTCCAGAAGCTTCCAGAACGTGGTGGATGTTTAGAAGTCTTAGACAACTTCCAGGCTGCTTTTGAAGACAAGTTGATGATACAAGACAAACGTTCTTCACCAAAACGTATAAGCCTTCTGGATGAAAGTTTCCTAGAGTGTCCAAAATGTAAAACCCAATATCCTACAAGCCAGCATAGGGAATTATTATCTCATGTTGATTTCTGTACTGTTTAAGTCCTAGAGTAAGCCTGTAGCTCTGTCTCAATACACCCATGCAATTTAACAGAAAATAATAACTTTTTAAAAACAACTCATGAAGATGCTAAAGGACTACAGTTCATATTTCAACCAAAACATTTGAGCTATAATTTAATTATCATGAAGGACCAGGCAGTAAACAACTTTGTGCATGGTATCTTCAGTTCTGAACTACTGATTGTATTTGCACTTTTGGGCAAGAAAGTTGTCTTATTTTCTGTAGGCTAATGCATCATGCAAATGTTCAATTACCGCTGTTTTTACTTTACTGGATTAACATATGATTCTTTGCCTTGCCTCCAGAAATGCATTTTGACATTTCAGCTTACCGAGGCCCTCTAACATTTGCAAAAAAGGAAATTCTTTTTAATAGCCAATGAGCTGTGAACATGTAGGCCACATGAAGGAATGCATGGAGACAGTTGGATGTAATAGGAAAACAAATATCACGTAGCCCAACTTCTAATTTCCACTGAACTCTTCTTTGCAGAAAGAAAGCAAGTCCCAAATTCAAAACATCAGAGTGTGTCTTGACCATTGCATCTATTTTGTTTAAGATATGCTCTCATTTGCACTTGTTATCCCTGAGCTGAAAGCTCAGGGATATAACTTATCAGGGAACCTGTATAAGCAAATGCTTTTAATAAAATGGAATTCGGCTATGCCACCAATCCTGTACATATGTCTTTTTTTAAATATCAGGAATAGCTGTACATGCAGTTTCTTGTTATTCCCTCTTGAATTTACTATCTCCTGTGCTGTTCTTCTGTTTGTAACTTCTACTGTGCTATTTCTTCAATGTGATTTGAGCTTCTGGTCATTCTGCCCAGAATTTGATTGGACTGTATCTCCTTCTTTAGGAGACACTGTGTCTTGATGGCTTATAAAGCTACCACTAAAGTAGATAAGAACAATGTTTTGTAACCACCACACAGATATTTCACATCGAGCTGAAAGCAATTATTGTTACCAAAATCATAGGCACCCAAGTACAAATAGTCCTTGACTTACGACTGTAATGACAGCCTGTCCATCAAGCCTTGATGGTCATATAATCGATTTTATGACCTTTTTTGTGGTGATTGTGGCTCATTAAAGTAATACTGTGGTCGTTAAGCAAATCAATGGTTCCCTATGAGTGCGGTTTCCCAAAAATCGGATATAAATGCTGGTTTTCTGCAAAAGTGTCATAAAATACAGTTCTGTGACCATGGGGGCACTGCAAGTGGCCGTAAATATGACCCAGTTTGAACTCCGAAAGTTTGATCATAGGGCTGCAGAGGGGTCTGACCCTTGGACGTCGAATCCAGACCGGAAGTAGCCCCCAGGTAGGTCCATCAGAATTGAAAGGTTGCAAGTGGAGGATTACTTATAATTATTATGCACGTTTTGTGGAAAGCTGCTGAATGTCAGGCAGATATGCATAAAATGAAAAGGGGAAAGTGGCCTTGGGTCTTAGTCCTCTCTGTGCTACAGAATAACTATGAACGACAGAGTCATGATCACACCTGAAACTACTCTGTTCCGTATTAATCATCTGCTATGGATAATATATTTTTCTATAAATTCCACCATATTATTCTGCTAGTATAGGGGAAAAGATGTCCAGGGCCGAGAACTGAAATTAATGTATCATAAAAATTGCAATATGTGTCCTACAATGATAAATACCATATTTTTCGTTCCATAAGATGCTCCAGACCATAAGACGCACCTAGCTTTTGGGGAGGAAAACAAGAAAACAAAATATTGTTTTGTTTCAGCAATGAAAATCTTGCACGGCTTTGTCTAAACCTTTTAAGACTTCTCTTCGGTTGCCTCTTGTAACATGCTGTTATACAGAATAACAGAATTGGAAGGGACCTTGGAAGTCTTCTAGTCCAACCCTGTGCTCAGGCAGGAAACCCTACAGCATTTCAGATGCTTGTCCAATCTCTTTTTAAAAAACACCAGTGTTGGAAAAGGAAAGAAGGAAGAATAGCTGAATAACAGAATTGGAAGGGATCTTGGAGATCTTCTAGTTCAACTCCCTGCTCAGGTAGGAAACCATATATCGTTTCAGCCAAAAGCTTTTGAAGCTACGGAAGAAATTTCCTGTAGGCGAAGCTGACCGCACAATGGATTTTTTTTTTTCCTGGGACCCGGGTCTATTTTGTTGCTGCCGCTCACCACCGTCGCCTATCGCCTTCGCCGCCTATTGACAGTTGGATCGGCCTCCCAGAATACCACTGATCAGCTGTTCCAGGTGACGGGGATTGCAGCTGCTGCCTGTTGCAGCAGGTGGTGGTGGTGATAGGTGGCGGTGATGCCAAGAAGTTTATAGCTTGCCAAGAAGTAGGTTGTGGTCTACTTTATTGAATGCTTTACTGAAATCTAAATATATTATGTCCACAGCATTTCGCTGATCCACTAATTTAGTCACTTTGTCAGAGAATGAAATAAGATTTGTTTGGCTTCTGGTTATAACTTTGTTTGCTATTAGGTATTCACATATTTGTTGCTTGATTATCTTTTCCCGGTTCTTCCCAGGTATTGATGTCAGGCTGATTGCTCTGTAATTTCCTGGATCTGTTTCCCCCCTCTTTTTTGACAATGAAAACTACACCATCTCTTTTCCAGTCCTTCTGAAAGATATATTTCAATGTTTCTGAAATCATGTCTGCCAGTTCCTTCTGAACGCTGGGATATAGTAGTTCATCAGAACCTAGTTATTTGAATCCATCCAGAACAGATAGATGTTCTCTTACCTTATGATTGCATATTTTAATTTGCATTCCTAACCTGTCATTTATGGTTCTGTTTTTGGTAAGTTGAGTAGTGTTTTCTTTTTGCATGAAGACAGATGCAAAATATGAATTAAGTAGTTCTGTTTTCTCTCTACTGCCTGTTATCTCTTTGCCATCTTCTCCCATTAGTGGACCAATTGTTTCAGGCATTGCTGAGGATAGTCCGAATTTAAATTTCCTCCCAAGATTCCAGGGCAAGAAAGGCTGGTTTGGAGAAGGTTTAATTTTAATCCATGGTGATCCAATAGATTGGTTTCCTATTTCTCTACTAAACATTCTGAAAGGTAAGAGGATGATTCTGGTGAACACCGTTCTCATACTGAAGTAGGTTTTGATAGGCAAAGAAGTGTTGCCATTGCCAGCTGGTGATTAGTCATCTGAAGGCAGGGAAAAGAGACAGATCTTCCTGGAAAGCAAACAATAGCAATAGCACTTAGACTTATATACCACTTCATAGTGCTTTTACAGCCCTCTCTAAGTGGTTTACAGAGTCGGCATATTGCTCCCAACAATCTGGGTCCTTGTCGAAAGAATGTTCGATTGTGCACTCAGGTCATAATGGGCAAGGTATTCGGGAAATGGTCTGGAGAAGCAAGGCCACATGGATTATTTGTGGACTTCTCAGCAGCTGAGAAGTTCCCATAGTTTGTTAATTTTTTTCTAGGTAGGTTTCCTACGTCAGATATTCAGGACAGGATCGTTCAAGGGGCCATTCTATTGGGGAAAGGGAGGGCAGGAGGACCAGGCAGTTTCAGAAGATAAGGTAGAAACCTTATTTTGTTCAGTATTCAGCATTCATGACAATGCTGAGTGACATCATATGAAGGTTTAGTATGTTTAGATATAGCCCCGATTGTTTCACAAGCCTAATGTTAAATTCAAGAAATTGACTCCAGGAGACGCTCCAAGTCTTTATTGAATCCTTTTCTCATTCCTGCCCAGCACACATTATCAAAGTCTGCTGCTGAATCTCCAACCAGGCCTTTCTCTCCGCAGATCCAATAAGAGCCCAAGACAAGTATATAGCTATGAACAAATGCCTTCACTGAGCTATTCAACAAATGCCTGCATTTTCACTTGTATTCAAAACTAAAGGTATTATAAACAGCCAAGCAACCTATAAACTGATTTATACAAGTTCATAAAAATAATTTACCAACCCTAGGTAAATGTTTATACCTGGGTCCTGAGTTTGCTAACCTACCTCTATTTCTTCTTGACAGGTAATACAACACAAGTCCTACATTTGGGTCTGAAATCAGTAATATGCTGGATGAGGGCCAATACACTTGAATTCAAACAAAATAAAAGTACTCTTGATGAAACAATAGTTTTGTTCAGAGAGTGTTCAGGTCTTCTGGGTGCAGAATAAGCCTCTCCCTGAAGGATCAGTCCTACAGTCTGAAAATGCACATCCAGCTGGCTTTGCCAGTAGACAGCAAAGCATCATTTGGGATATGGAGCCTCTTAGCCACTGAGGTCACCTCTTCGTAGGGATTGGCATGTGTGAAAGAGATGAACTGAACAATAAAACATGCATAGTCTTATGCAAATGCCATGACTTATGTATTTATATTAGACATTGAGATGCAAGTACATTATACCGGCATTTATGTGATGGGGTCACTACCTATCATTTTGGTATTGTATTATGATTTGCCGCAGATACTGCTGTTCTCATAGGCAACAATAACTTGGTCATCTCCAGAAGGAGTATTTTGAAGGATACAAAAATGGGTGGGAGCTGAAAAGGCAGTACTCTGATGATAAAACAGGCTCTGGGAAAATCTTTGCTTGTCCTTAAACAACATCATTAGCTTCCAAGCGACTACAAAGAGAGTTCTACTGTTCTCTCTAAAGCTTTCCAAGTATTCTGGCAGAAGCAGCTATTCACTCTTCCATTAGGTGCCTGATAATATAGCCCATTTTCTGAATCCTCTCTCAAATTTCTTTCTGAAATGAGTTGGATAGTAACTTGATCAACAATTTTGTCAGTTGTGAAATTCCTTTAGGCAATTTCCCTTCATCCATCACAGGAGGCCTGCATACTTGAATATCTTTCCTGGGGAAAACAAAGCCTTTTTTCCAATGCATGATTTCAATATCTTTTATTACTTATTTTCACATACTGTAGGTAAAATATCCTGAGGATGTGTCTACTTTAGGCATATACATTTTTAGAACAAAAATACAGCAGAGTGGGAAATCACTTAATCCTTAATGGGAAGCTTAAGTAGGGCAGTGAGGTAAATGTATCTCTCTTAATATGAAAGACATTCTGCAAGTAATTGTTGATTCAGCTTGACTGAACAACTGAGTCTCATAAATTTATTGCTCATTACTTTTTAAAAATACCTAATTGAATGCATATCTCTATTAGAACATTCCGCCCATCAGCATTATCCATTACCGATCCCAACTTAAATCAAGTTGAATCAGTTTATAGTTGTTAATGTTTTTCCCTCACCCACACGGAATTACTAAAATGTGTCCTTGCCGAATTTAGTTATACTGAAATCCTTAAAATCATCACTGTTAGGCTTCAAAGGTAAGCTATTCCTTACTTCTTCAGCAAGAAACAATGCAAGGACTTTGAAGAAAAGTGGAATTATAATCAAATGATAAGGGGTGGGGAGGAAGTGACTCGTCTTCCTGTTAAACTTTCTGTAGCTGAAACACCTGTTTTTTTAGAAATATAAGTTAACCCTGCCTAAGGTAGATTGTAATTAATGTTTTATAATTTGATAAATCCAAATCAGTTCTATGAACAAATTATTAATCACAGGAGTATGCAGGCTTCCAGTCTTTTGGTTGAACTTCACATATTTCCATCAAAGTGTGGGTTGAAGAAAAATACAGTTTCCATCAAGTAACTGTAGGAGGTGGCAGAATTATTTTTCCTTCTGTGGGACTGAACTCTCTATTCCTGCGCAACTATTTTCAAACACTGCCGGCCTACCTCAGTCACCATGTCAACTGCAATCCATCTGCTTCTCTGTATAAAACCTCTGCCATCTGTTTGCTTTAATGTAACAAAAAGAACTGAGCCAGCCTATTTTTATTTGCCATCTACAAATACAGGAATACATACTCTGGTGCACGAAATGCAATAAACAATCCCTTGACTGTAACTGGCCACTTGAGAGCACCTGAAAAACCTCCCCAACTTCCCATACAAACTAATAATAATGCCCATGGAACTTCACAAATATTTAAAGATGGTATGTCAACACTCATCAGTAAGGAATATAAAACACGAGGACATCATTTTTTCAAGGCTTGAAAAGAATACTTCAACCAATGGATAAAAAGATACGTTTCCAGTAAAATGTTAAACTCGAGATGAGAATCTTTTTTCACTCTCTCCTCCTCCATTTTCTGTTTGCTTGGCAAATTATTGGGAGATACAGGCTTATAATTAATTGTGGCCGCTCCCTTCTTTAAGAGTTCTTAATCTAGAAATTAGATAGGAAAAGGAAAACCTGAAAATAAAGCAAATTATCATCTTTGACAGGCAACAATGTGGTTCAGATGAGGGGTCCTTGGTGCTCTCTGAATTTGGTAGTTTTCTTGCAAACATTTCATTACCCAAGGAGAAAAGCAACTTGGAACAAAGGAGAAACTTCCTAACAGTGAGGAGAATTTACCAATGGAACAGCTTGCCTTGAGAAGTTGTAGGTGCTTCATCCCTGGAAGTTTTTAAGAAAAGACTGGACAACTACCTATCTAAAATGATATCGGGTCTCCTGTTTGAGCCAAGGGGTTGGACTAGAAGACCTTCAAGATCCCTTCCAGCTCTATTCTGATTGAAACTAGATAACATTGTCTTCATCATCATCATCAAGGACCCTTCATTTCAATCCCTTGAGCTACAAATATTTTCCTTTATTGATTTGGTTCAACTCTCTATGTTGTATATATGAGTAGATATGTTTACGGCTGTGCTGCTGGATTGTGTGAACAATGTTTTGGTTCTGTTCATCCACCACATACGGTCATAGGGAACCTTCATTCTTTCAGCTCCAGGAGACACAGCCAATAATGGATGTTGATGGATGCTGACAATATCTTCCAGTTGTCTCTACTACTAGTGCCCAAATGTGTACTTCAGCAATATCTGGAGGCCACAAATTCTTCATCTGAAACTCTAAATCTAAATGAAAGTAATTATTTAATCTGATAATATCTAGGTCTGAGGGGTCCTTGGTGCTCTCTGAGCTTGGTGGTTTTCTTGTAGATATGTCATTACCCAAACTAGGTTAACATTATCAGTGTTACGTCTGCAACATCTGCAAGAAAACCACGAAGCTCAGAGAGCATCAAGGACCCCTCATTTCAACCCTGAGCTACAAATATTCTCCTTTATTGGGGCCTTCTAGATGTGTTGGATATAACTCCTTTCTTGTTATCAAAACTACTGGTTGATCTGATTGGCGATGGGAATTTCCAGAGAATACCAGATTAGAAAAAAGATGTATTGGTTTGCCCAGACTGTTTCTATTTCAATATTATTCCGATATTTAAAAGGTAATGTTTCATTTCCTATTTCTTGAAAATAAACTTTTAATCTTAACCACTTTCTGAGTAAGCTCTTAGCTGGTGACTAAAAATCAACACCACAAATTCAGTCTCTTTGCAAACATTAAACAGTACAATACAGTACACCTGTTTAGATGGTGAATATTATGTCAACCCATTACGATAAAGACACACAAAATGAAAGTTTAATCACCCAGGGTTGGGTTCAATAAAAATGCAATTCCAATCCCCAAATGACAGAACAAAGTAACTCCTTAGGATATAGAAACTAATTACTATTTCTCTAGTTTATTCTTTCTTGTAAATGATACTATGATAAACAGCCCTCTAATATAAGAGAAAAACATTTTGTGACGTTGACAATCATGCAAACAGACCAATTTCTGTGTCAGCATGTAGAAAAATCCCTTGTTTGCTTTTTGAGTACTAGTAATTTTCATGAACATAGAACATTCAATAATTTTTAGGGTCTCAATCTCATTTCAACGTTCTAAACTGCCTAGGAGAACATCTGAATTGCACTGTCTAAGATTTAAATGATTGCTGAAAAGCTTGATGGAGCAGTATTCAGGATTAACTGAGGTCATGCCATGTAACTTCAAACTGTTTCCCAGGTCACTATTAAATGAGGTGATAGTTTAGATCTGTGTTTCACAACTGGGGCAACATTAAGACCAATGGATTTCAATTCCCAGAATTCCCCAGCCAGCCATGCTGGGAATTATGATAGTTGAACTCCCCAGGTCTTAAAATTGTCAAAGTTGAGAAACATCTGTTTATATTAAAGCATTCTGCAAAGTAAATATTGCGAGATTCAATAATGAATTCTGATTAGGCTTCTCATCCTAGGCAACCTCAGGTCAACAAAGCAAGGCATATTGAATTGCAAGTAGGCGATTGTAGTATAACCCTTTCAATGCTACTTTCCACCCTAGACTGTTTCTGTTAATCTGGATTTTAAAACGAGCGATTTATCATATGCTTAAAAGTCATCTGAATGACTGTGCAGATCTGATATTTTTCCTAAACACAAAACTTGAATTTTGCTTGGAGGTACTCAAGATACAACTGAAAGACATGGTTGTCCAGCAAGAACCACTCTCCCATCATGGGAATCAAAGGAAAATGGCAATTGCGGGATCAGTGGAGAACAGGGTATACATTTTAATAGATAAATGGAATCATACATGTCCTCTAATTAATTTCCAGTATGGCTGTCCAGACACCAAGTAGAATGATTCCTGAAGGCAGTTTGGCATGATTTCAATTGTGAATGGAAAGGCATGGGAAGTCAGTGGAATGCCTGGCAGTAGGAACCAATTAGGTGGTGGGACGTAATAGGTGATCAGTTCAGTGAAGTAATTGAAGGGATAACTGTAACTTTGGTGGACAGTGTCCAGGGGCCACATCAAAGGAAACCCAAAGTTTTCCTGAAGGGACCCTCCTCCTCCTGCATTCAGAAAAGCAGCGCCCTCCTCACCTGCAGCAAAAACAAACAAGCCACACGTCTATGGAAATTCTCAGTCCTCCAGGTAAAGGTTGTCCCAAAGGTGCTTTTTCCAAAGGCAACTAGGCTTTGTTTTTCCTAGAAGACGTTTTAACTTCTCATCCAAGAAGCTTCTTCAGTTCTGACTTCTTGAATGAGAAGCGAAAAGTCTGCAAGGAAAAACAAAGTCCAGTTGCCTTTGGAAAAAGCACCTCTGGGACGAGTAAGCCATGGAATGGGACAAGGATGGAATGGGACAACTCACCACAGCCAACTCATCATGGTCAACTTGCTGTGGGACAACTCGCCGTGGCCAACTTGCCATGGGGCAACTCACTGCAGGACAATTCAACAATTCAATTTAATTATTTAAAATAATTTTTAAAATATTTTCATTTTTATCATTCACATTTCATTTTGTCCCTCCTTTGGTATCCGTTCTTTAATTATTCTATTCCACTATTTCTTCGATATTAGGTTAACTCTTGTCCCGTGTACAGTTGTCCCATGGCAAGTTGGCTGTGGCGAGTTGTTGTAAACAAATCTACATTCTTGCCCAAGACTAAATCCCATTAAATAATGCTCCTTTCTAAACGGGATACAGGTAGTTCTCAATTTATGACCACAATGGAGCCCAAAATTTATGTTGTTAAGTGAAACATTTGTTAAGTGAGTTTTGCCCCATTTTACGACCTTTCTTGCCACAGTTGTTAAGTAAATCATTGCAGTTAAGTCAGTAACACAGTTGTTAAGTGAATCTGTCTTCCCCGTTGATTTTGCTTGTCAAAAGGTTGCAAAAGGGGATCACGTGACCTTGGGACACTATAACTGTCATAAATATGAACCAATTACCAAGCATCTGAAGTTTGATCACATGATCACAGGGAGGCTACAAAAGTTGTAAGTTTGAAAAATGGTCATAAGTCATTTTTCCACCGCTGTTGTATTGTAACTTTGAACAGTCACTAAACAAATTGTTGCAAATCGAGGACTAATCCTGTAATCCTCAATTCAAGAGGTGAGCACCTCATACAAGAATATTTATTTCTACGTTGATTGATGTATATACAACTAATGTTTCTTGTCCTTTAATCTTTGGCTTTGTGTTGCAGCCCTAAACATTACATAGAGTTGTTAACTAGGTGGTGGGCAGCATATACAATCAATCAATCAATCAGGCAAGTTACTTTCTTGTTCATTCTAAAAGCTAGTGTGGTAGACTAGCTAAGTTAAGACTACGTGTCTTGTCTCAACCTGTCGATCCCCCTCTTCTAAAGTTTCCTCTGGGGTTCTGTCACTTCATAACCCTGAATAAGGGGGGTACATAAGCGCACCAGCGTGCCTACCGTCCCTGTCCTAATCTTTTATTTGTATCCTTTTCATGTATTTATAATTATGTTTACACTTTTATCTGTCATGGAATACATACTTGATGAAATAAATAAATAAAATGAATAAAATTCCCACTTGGTGCCAGGGCAGGTCCTCTCCTTCTCCTACCAAGCATTATAAAACAACTCCCCTCCTTCCTTTTTTTTTTTTTTTTGTCTCTAAGTGAGCGGGCCGACCCTTACTAGCTCCTCAAAGAAGCTCCCCTCGCGTCCCTTCTCTCTTTCGGGGTGTGGGTGGGAACTCTGTCGTCTGGGACGCATTTTCGCTTCCCGCTTTTTTTTGTTTTGTTTTGTTTTCCTCGACGGCCTGTTCCTAAGTCCCATCGGGGGAGGAGGAAGAGGAGGAGGCCCTGCCAGAACTTGCGAACGGCAGGCGGAAGGCAGCGATGCTCGCTCCTCCGTGCCACTTACTACTCCTCGTAAAGTACTCGCTTCCCCTCCCTGCGGCGGGACAGGGCTGCAAGCTCTCCTCCGCCTCCCGCCACTTCCTCGTCGGCCCAGCCTCGGCCAGCCTCTCAGGTGTTCAGTCCACCCCGAAGTCGCTTGGAAGGAAGGAAGGAAGAAGGCCGATCGGGGAGGGGTCCCTATCCGGCTCGGGTGCGGGGCTAACAGGACTGGACGGAAAACTGCTGCTCTTCCGCCCCTGATGCCCCGGGCGCTCGCCTCTCCATGCCCGGAGCCGGGGCTGGCGGGAACGACACGCTCTTCCCCTTCTTTTCGGACTTCAAGGAGGCGGCCGTCCGCCTGGGGCTGAGCATCGTGGAGACGGTGGTGCTGGCGTCGATCTTCGCCCTGGCTTTGGCGGCCAACGCGGGCGCCATCCGGCTGGTGCTGCGTCGCAAAGGCCGTCCGGGCGCCGCCAGCTGCCTGGTGCTCAACCTCTTCTGCGCCGACCTGCTCTTCATCAGCGCCATCCCGGTCATCGCGGTGGTGCGCTGGACCGAGAGCTGGACCCTGGGCGAGGCCGTCTGCCACCTGCTCTTCTACCTGATGAGCCTGAGCGGCAGCGTCACCATCCTCTCCCTGGCCGCCGTCAGCCTGGAGCGGGTGGTCAGCATCGTCCGGCTCAAGCCCGCCAAGCCTTGGAAGGGACGGCTGGTGGCTGCCTGCCTGCTGTCCGTTTGGGCCTTGGCGGCTCTGGCCACCCTCCCGCTCAGCCTCTTCTTCAGCGTCCAGCCGCTGCCCACCAGGGGCCCGGTGAGTTGATCTTGGTGGTGGCTGGCCAGCAACCGACCGACCTGGGGAGCCGGAGGACCCCCGATGGGGCGAGAGATGTGGTGGCAGGTGTACAAAGGCATAACTTTATGGCTCATGTCCTAAGCATCACTTACTTAACACTCAGGTGAACAGAGTTGGAACGGACCATGGAGGTCTTCAGGAAACCCTATACCCGTGACGGTGAACCTATGGCACACGTGCCACAGGTGGCACACAGAGCCCTCTCTTGGGGGCACGTCAGCTGTCGCCCCAGTCCAGCTCCACCGTGCATGCAAGCGTGCCTCCCGCCAGCCAGCTGGTCTTCGGGTCTCTGCTGTGCATGCGTGGAGGGGGGTGCATGCACGCACGGGGCACACATGTGTGCATGCACGAGGGACATGTGCACACATGCACGGGGTGCAGGTTGGTGCAGGAGGCTTTCCAGGCCCGAAACAGAACATGGGGGGGGGGCTGCCCCATTTTAGGCTTGGAAAGCCTCCTGCACCAACCTGGAAACCAAAATGGGGCGCTGGAGGGGCCACACAAGGCTCCCCGTGCCCCGTTCTGGGCCTAGAAAGCTGCCTACACCAACCTGGAAGCCAAAACGGGATGCGGGGGGCCAGCGCAGGGGGAAGCTTGCATTGCATTTTGGGGGTTTGGGCACACGTGTGTATTTTTGCACGCACGTGTGTGCTTCGGGTACTCGGCACCAAAAAGGTTAACCATCACTGCCCTATACCATTTCAGACAAATGGGTTGTCCAAACTCTTCTTAAAAACTTCCAGTGTTGGGAGTTTTCTTTCTTTCTTTCTGATTTTCTCTAGTTATCTTCTCAGCTTCAATAGTGCTGGGTTTTGTTTTTGCTTTCCTCCCTTTCCCTACATCAGTTAAGTTAATGACAAGTCAAGATTGCTGAGTGAACTTCAGGGCTGAGTGTGGATTAGAACTGGGATCTCCCTGTGTTAGGTCAGGCTGTAGCCAAATTACCAAACAACAACGTTCAAATGGCCCAGTGTGAAACTTAGAGCAGATTTCACTTAGAGTTCAGGTCCTTCTTAGAGATATTTAAGCAAAGGCTAAGGGGACTATCCAGCTGTCAGATGGGCTATAGTTTCATCCTGTGTTGTGGTCAGGGGTGGGTGCTACTTACCTTTACTACTGGTTTGCAATGGGATCGTGCGTGTGCGAAATGAGCTTCTGTGCATGCGCAGATCACCGATGACGACATCCAGGGTGGTAGGCGGGGCCTCCCGCTGGTTTTACTACCGGTTCTTGCGAACCGGTCTGAACTGGGAGCAACCCACCACTGGTTATGGTTCATGAGGCTAACTCAACAACCTCCAACATCCTTTCCAAATATCATTCTATCATTAGTAGAATAAGGCTGTGCAGTGAGTGTGCATCACATTCTGCATTACATACGATGCTGCACAAAATTCAAAAGATTCTGAGGAGCAAGAACATTCAACAGACTTCAGGACGTTGAATGCTCAGGGTGTACTTTGAGAACAGGCTACAGCTAAATTGGGGTCTCAAGCTGCTTTGCCTGGATCACTCTGTCCCTACATCACCAACCAGCCATGTGTCTGCCTTAGACCTTGCCAGATGTCCTGCGTGTTGAGCACAGAAACCAGGCATCCTGCTTGGCAGGGGATGATGATCTTCTCTAGGCATCTACTGCCAATTTATTGTGTTTCTTTGCTGAATGTATAGAAGGTGAAGTCCTTTGCATGTGCAGCAAAGAAATAAACAGGAGGTACCCTAAGTTTCTGCATTAACTATCAAAGGAGATTGATCAGCTTCCCTTTATCATCACACCAAGGGTAGAAAGAAAGAATCTTCTTCTGTTTCACTGCAGGCTTTTCTGTTTCTTTTCTGGGTATTTGACCTCTCATAACTTCTCCATGGGATGCTTGAGCTTCTGAAGGAAGAATAAAATTCTCCATATTTTTAAAAGTAGTCTACTATATGTTGGCCTCGCTGGGGAAAAGAAGTTTCTTACCCCAGTTTAGTATAAAGGATAAACAAGCCAAAATTTGCATCTGTTTTCTTGCACTTACCTACTAGAAATTCTTAGTTTTCTTCTATGGCAGCCAAAAGAAGCTTCCCATAATGAACCAGCAGATCACCTGGTTCTTGCTAGATCAGGATGCAGGGATGACTCTGCATTTTGATTTTACAGGTTTCCTGCTATGGAGATTCCAGATTCCAATTTTGAACAGGAGAACTCTGTGGAGGATGCCAAAACAGAGTAAAAAAAACATCTCAGTTAAAGAAAACTTCTAAAATAAAATTTATGAATCTCAGCCTCTTCTGTGAGAGTACAAATAACGTTATGGATTATCATGCGTCTCGAGTGAACTGCCACCTGATTACTTTTCCTTCCTTCTCTTCTTGTGTGGCCAGGATGAGAAAGAAGCCAACTTTATGCGCCAGTCATAAGCTCCAGTCCAAGATTGATTTTATGATTTCAAAAACAGTAACTAGCATGAGAAAGACACAAGGGTTCAATTTTTATTTTCTAACAGAAGTGGGTGAAATTTGCAGACCCAGACTTGCTTCTGAGGGGATAAACCCTGTCTAAGTTCTGTAACATATATGCTGGAGGTTTGGAGACAATATGTTAAATTCTGCTTCTTTATAATAAGCCTTGTCTTTTACCTGTGAGTTTGGGAGAGACTTACCGTATATTACATTTGTAGGCACAGATGCTTCTCCTCAGAAGATAAAAACTGCCATGCTCCAGGAATGCAAAAAGATAAGTCCCTGCCCCCAGTCCATGTACTTATTTATCTATTTGGTAAATAATATCTACAAATAATGTCAATAGTTTCAGAGAGGAAAACTGCCAAATTATAGTTACAAATTACAAATAGGGATTCAGAGAGCTTAAAGCTAGGTACCTTTCTATGTCTTTTTCTAAGACAGTTAATCCTGTAATTATTGATTGTGCGGCTCAGCTGGGCATGGTGGGGGTGGGGGGCGCAGGGATTTTTGCTACCGGTTCTCCAAACCACCCATCACCATCGCTACCGGATCGGGTGATCCGGTCCGAACCGGGAGCATTTCACCCCTGCACCCACCCACCCACCCACCCACCCATCCATCCATCATATATCTATTTCAATTGTGCTTCCCCTGAAATATATTAAAATTTATGGAGCATAGAGGCCAAAATTGTAAGCTGTTCTCCATTCAGATCCTGCTATAAAACAAGGCCAATTACTTAGCTCCATACTTGACTGTATTTGTCTGGAAGGATTGGTGAGATTATTAATTTTAAATACTTTGAAAAGTTTGTAAAGACGAGATACTGTGACCACGAATTGATGGAAACTGGAACAAGACTTAGGAAAGTCATCTGAGATTGGCTTTGCTTTCATTTTAAAAAGCTTTTATATGATAAAGCTATTTGCCATGTGTGTTTGTGGGCCCACAGCACACAATACCGAAACATTTATCAGCTGCTATGTTACATTTTTTGTTTGTTTATACTTATTGCATTTTATTGTTCTGATCATAATCTGCTTTGATGTATTGACTGGAGAGCAGTTAAAGAATGATTCAAATCATAAATGCTTTCATTATCATAATGGGGTTAATGATCTTAAAGCAATTACAGCAAATGAAGGAAAGATCTATGACAGAAAGAAGTGTGACAATTGGGGAGATTCATCCACAATGAAAAAATCCCTTCTGTTTGTTTCTTGTTCAGATCCAAACAAAATATTACATATTGGCCAAAAAAGTAAAATAAAATGTGGCATTGCAAATTGGAGAGCTCAGCTTGGTTCACCCCAAAGTACGACTGACGTTAGCTGCCTATTACCAGGTTCATGGAGTACTTTTCAATTCTAAGAGTACATAGTGTAGGCGTATCAAAGAGGTTGCGTAGGCTTTGATTTAAGGATTTTGAGTTATGCAAGGTATCTTGATCATCTTGCAATGAGTGAGCAAACAAAAAGAAGGAAGAAACTCGCTCTTTGACTTAATAAGTGAGGTATAGAATAAAACTGGAGAAAAGTTGAATATGTTGTCTAGAGCAAGGGAAGATCCTGCGAGTTCCTTGGACTGCAAGGTGATCAAACCGGTCAGTTCTAGAGGAGATCAACCTTGACTGCTCTTTAGAAGGCCAGATCCTGAAGATGAAACTGAAATACTTTGGCCACCTAATGAGAAGGAAGGACTCACTGGAGAAGAGCCTAATATGGGAAAGATTGAGGGCAAAAGAAGAAGGGGACAACAGAGGACGAGGTGGCAGGATGGAGTCACTGAAGCAGTAGGCTTGAGCTTAAATGGACTCCAGAGGATGGTAGAGGACAGGAACGCCTGGAGGAATGTTGTCCATGGGGTCACAATGGGTCAGACATGACTTCGCAACTAACAACAACAACAATAAAGATCATGGATTAGCATTTCTTCAGGAAAAGCAGGATTGAGGTAGACATTCTTCAGCCTCTGAATCTCATCGTTTTAAATTGCTGGAGCTCCCATCAACCAGGTTGTTAAACAGGCTTCAAATAAAATGGCCCATGAGTTGAGCTTGATTTCTAGTGACTCCAAGGAGACCACCTCACAGTTTTCCTGGCAACAGCCTGGACATGATTTGCCATTTCTTTCCTCTAGGCTTTGTTTATAGACCTGGGCTTAGTTCATCGCCTGCAATTCTGCAATTTGGTGATCTCCCATTCAGGATCTATCTACATCCAGTCCTGATTAGTTTACTCAGCTTTGCATATACAGTAGGTTTAAGGCAGTGGTGAAATCCAATTTTTTTTTACTACCGGTTCTGTGGGCGTGGCTTGGTGGGCGTGGCAGGGGAAGGATACTGCAAAATCTCCATTCCCACCCCACTCCAGAAGAAGGATACTGCAAAATCCCCATTCCCTCCCCACTCTTGGGAAAGGATATTGCAAAATCTCTATTCCCACCCCACTCTGGGGCCAGCCAGAGGTGGTATTTGCTGGTTCTCCGAACTGCTCAAAATTTCCGCTACCGGTTCTCCAGAACCTGTCAGAACCTGCTGGATTTCACCCCTGGTTTAAAGCCAATCAAAAGCAAATAGTCTCTCCGCCACAGTATTCTTCCTTTAAAACACATCAAATGCCCTTTCCAGACATTCAAAGATGTCCGCTTCAGCTGGATACTGAGAGGTGTGGACTTTAAAAAATTAAGTTTTAGAGGCAGAATAAAAATTTAAAGCTCCTTCAATATTTTAGTATGCAGAAATATAGCAAGATACAAATAGGAACTGATTTTATATTAAGGAGGATAAACATTTTCAGAGAAAGACTTCTTGCTTTGTGTGGGGGGTAAGTGGGGGAATCCAGACTTCATCATGTTTATAACAGAAAAATTTACATTCCTAACTAATTTGATCAATTGATATTAGTATATCTACTTTATAATAAAGGTAAAGGTTCCCCAGGCACATATGTGCTAGTCATTCCCGACTCTAGGGGGCAGTGCTCATTTCCGTTTCAAAGCCGAAGAGCCAGCGCTGTCCGAAGACGTCTCTGTGGTCATGTGGCCGGCATGACTAAACTCCAAAGGCGCACAGAATGGTGTTACCTTCTCACCAAAGGTGGTCCCTACTTTTCTACTTGTTTTTTTTACGTGCTTTTGAACTGCTAGGTTGGCAGAAGCTGGGACAAGTAACGGGAGCTCACCCCGTTATGCGGCACTAGGGATTTGAACCCTTGAACTGCCGACCTTTCGATCGACAAGCTCAGCGTCTGAGCCACCACGTCCCTTATCTGCTTTATACCTGTCCACTAATAGATGCCAAAAGTTGGCATCATTTTGTTTTTCCTTTGGTGACCAATACTCCTGTTGTTATTATTTTATTTGCAAAATAAAAAAGGCAAAACACTTTTATGTTGTAGTTAGCCAATTTTATTCAACAGTAAGGAACTTTCACGATAGGGAAGAATAGAATGAGTTTTCTTAACCATTAAACAAAATAATTAGAGTGAAGCTATTTTAATTCTGTTTTAAAGAATGTAAACTATAACTCCTATACTTTTAGACCTGATTTTTTTTTAAAAAGCAATTCTAATTTTTCAGGTCCATTTCTTGATTTTATGTTGGATTAAATCTGAAAATGTTCATGAATCCAAACCACCTTTGCTAGTTAAATTCTCCAAAGACCATAGAGAGGAATAAGGGCACAATATGATAAAACTGTCTTATAGCACAATATCATGTAAAAGGTAGAACTAGGGACAACACCTTTCTCAAATCCCTACTTTGCTTTGACCAAGCTTAATAAAAGAGGGGCTATTAGTTCAGGGATGATTCTAGATGACCAATAGATGGCAGCAGAGTCAGAACTTTTAAGGTTTTCTGTGTCTCTTTGCTGACATCTAGGGCTCATCTACATTTTCGCAGTCCAAATCTAGGAAGCCTAAGATACTGTTGTGTGCAGTAGACACAACCTTCATGGGTATTTACACTTCTATAGCCAATTAAGCCAACCATGGTTTAGTTATTAATCCCAGGTTTCTGATTTCTGGCTCTCGAACAAGACTGAATTTGCAAAACAAACAAAATCATGATGTTCAGATCTGGTTTGTAAACTGTGTGATGAATGATGAACCCAGATTTAGGTAGTCCAGATAATCCTTAATTTACACCCATTTGTTTAGCTACAGTTCAAAGTTACAACGGCAATGAAAAAAGTGTCATGACTGGTCCTTGCAAGTATGACCGTTGGAGCATCCTAAGGTCACATGATCAAAATTTGAACACTTAGCAACCCGCATCTATTTACAATCGTTGCAACATCCTGGGGTCATGTGATCGCCATTTGTGACCTTCCCAGCTGGCTTCCAATGAGGAAAGCCGGATTCACCTGAACAATCTCATGATTCATTTAAAAGCTGCAGTGGTTTGCTTCACAACGGTAACTTTGGTCATAACATTGGGCACGACAAACTTAACAACTGCCAATTGCGGCTGTAAGTCTAGGATTTCCTGTAGGGTGATACGGTCTTGATTCATGACTAGTTTACATGGGTAATGCTGTCTGGAGGAACCAGTCCAATAGAAGTGGCCTTTAACTTGTTGATCTTGAAATAGGCTTCTCTGAAATGTTGGGTTGCTTAACCCATGAATGCTGCCACTGCCAGTGACCCTATAGATCAGGGGTCCCCAACCCCCGGTCCATGGACCGTCACAGGTCCGCGGCATGCCAGAAACCAGACTGTGCAAACAAGCGAAGCCCCATCCGCGGGATGCAAGCAACACATGAACCACGTCCCTTCTGGCCCGCGGAAAAATATCTGCCCACGGAACTGGTCCCTGGTGCCCAAAAGGTTGAAGGTCACTGCTATAGATGTTACTGAATCACAAACCCCACAGCTCTTCATCATTAGCTTAGCTGGCTGGGATTTCTGGGAGTTGTAGTTCAGCAGTACTTTCACTACACTTTCTTTAAAAAAAACCTCTCCCTCATGTTTTTCAACTTTGGCAATTATAAGAAAATATGGCATATAGAAAATTGTGCAGAAATGTACGTGTTATAATGAATGTATAATTTAGATGTTATAAAAGTCTTTGCTTTCCTGTGCTTGAGCAATATTCCTGCCTGTTATATCATATCTAGCATGCAAAACTGAGATGAGAAATCACTCGATGGCAACAAAGGGTTAGAGCAGGGATCCCCAACCTCCAGACTGGGGCCCACTACCAGGCCTGTCTGGAACCAGGCTGTGTGAGGGGCTGGCTGGCGTACGCCTGTGCGCATGCAGCTCGACTTGTGCAAGTGGCGGGCCGGTGTGCACATGCGCAGCTCGACTTGCATGATCGATGGGCCGGCATGCACACACACAGCTTGATTTATGGAGCAGCAGGCCATTTCTCCTCTTCCCTCCCCCACTGGGCCGCCAAGCTGTAAAGATCGGGGACCACTATGTTGAGAGTTTTCTGTTTCTCTTTGCCGCCACCAAGTGGTCATCTCGATTTTTGCTGCCAGATACAGTAGCCTTGTTCTTTTGAAAATTTGATGTACTTTCCTAAAGAAATAGGCTTCCCTATAGAACTTCAAGTTGTGAGGACCATAAGATGAAACAGGAAACAATACAGGTAGTCCTCGAATTATAACAATTCATTCAGTTACTGTTCAAAGTTACAACAGCATTGAAAAAAGTGACTTATGTTTATTTTTCACACTTATGACTATTGTGGCATCCCCATGGTCCTGTGATTTAGATTCAAATGCTTGACAACTGATTCACATTTATGACAGGTGCAGTGTCCCCAGAGTCACGTAATCCCTTTTTGCGACCTTCTGACAAGCAAAGTCAATGGGGAAGCCAGATTCACTTAACAACCGGGTTACTAATTTAAGAACTGCAGTGATTCACTGGTGAAAAAAGTCGTAAAATGGGGCAAACTCGCTTAACAAATTTCTCACTTAACGACATAAATGTTGGGCTCAGTTGTGTGGGCGTAAGTTGAGGACTACCTGTAATCATCAGGGAATAAGTACATATCATCTTTCACTTCTAACCTACAGCTGTTATTAACGTAGTAGAATTGAGCTCATAACTTCTAATGTTTGCCAAGCTATTCAGTTTCACTGATGCGATACTTTGGTTTAATTTTTCCCAGAAGTTGATACACCTTTATTTGGATACACACTATTATTTGCCACAATATATAATAATGTAATCATTAGCTGTGTCGTAGCTTATATTTGGTGAGTGATTATGTCACCCGGAAGAGTGAGATGGATTTTTCTGAAAGGCTCTGTTGAAAATCCAATGAAGTCCTTACGTAGGTTTTGTTCTTTGCTTACAGGAAGTGTATATCTGCACCTTGGTTTGGCCCAGCATTGCAGGAGAAATCGCTTGGGATGTCTCCTTTGCCACCGTGATCTTCCTTATACCGGGATTGGTCATTGTAATTAGTTATTCAAAGATTTTACAGGTATTTTCCATAGTTTTACTTTTTTAAAAAAACAAATACAATGCTAAGAGTTGCCAGCTGTTTAAAATGCAGACAGTGGTATTTCAAATGGAATTTCATTTTTATAGACCACACGAATATGCCAGATTTTCATTTTATCAGACCGCAAGAATATTCATCGAAGGAAGTTGATAATGCAATAAGCAACACATAACTGACTTTTTAATATTCTTAATCATCTCAGTAACGTGTTAAAACATAAGCATTTCCCTGCTGAATCAGACCCCATCTAAGCCTAATAACAGAATAACAGACTTGGAAGGGACTTGGAATTCTTCTAGTCCAATGGCCCCCAACCTTTTGAGCACCAGGGACTGGTTCCATGTAGATAAGTTTTTCTTTTGGACCAGAGGGGGCGTGGTTCATGTGCTGCCTGCATCCCGTGGATGGGACTTCGTTTGTTTGCACGGCCTGGTTTCTGGCATGCCACAGCTCACTGCTGGTCCCTGGACCGGGGGTTGGGGACCCCTGTTCTAGTCCAACTTCCTGCTCAGGCAAGAAACCCTATACCAGTGATGACTAAACTTTTTGCCATCGCGTGCCAGGAAGGGGGGTGGGTGGGGGAGGTTCGCGTACATGTGTGCCCACACCCATAATTCTATGTGCCCCGCCCTGCGCATGCGCACGCGACCTCCGCTCCTGGCATGCGATGGCCCAGTAAGTCCGTTTTTCTTTCTCACCTGGCTCCAGATCCTCTCTATGCATCTGGGGAGGGTGAAAACAACCTTCCCCACCCCCTCGAAGGTCCTCCGGAGGCCCAAAAGGGCTCATTTTCCAACTTTCAGTTAGACAGGAAGTGACTTTTTTGCTGTCCCCAGCCTCCAGAGTCTCCTAGAGAGGCCATCTGTGGCATGCGTGCCATAAGTTCGCCATCATGGTCCTATACCATTTCAGACAAATGGTTGTCCAATCTCTTCTTAAAAACTTCCAGGGTTGGAGCAGCCACAAATTCTGGAGGCAAGTCATTCCACTGATGAATTGTTCTAACTGTCAGGAAATAAGTCTAACAGTCTATTCTCATGGTGGCCAACCAATTCCTCAAGGAGGTCTATTAGTCTCCCAGCAGATGGCCTTCAGAGATGGTCACGTTGCCGTCGAGGCGAATAACCATGGATCCTCCTGACTTTGTGAATCATCACAACTCTTTTCTGAAGCCAGCGAAGTTGGCATCCAAACTCCACATCTCAGGATAGCAAATTCCAAAGTGATAAATGGGAGTGACATTTATTTATTCAACCTACGGTAGCAAGCTTATTGCAATGGAACTAATAATACAGCATACATTTAAAACTACAATGTAAAAAAAAAAAACCCACAGTGCATGAGCTTATAATATAAAAATCAATCTATCAGAACGGAGAGAACATTAGCTAAATTTGGGAAAAGTTAAGTGTTCAGCTTCTACCTCAAAGCGGAGAGAGCAGGAGTTAGGTGTGGTTTGGGCAATAAAAGAATTGCTAGGTAGGAAGTGAATTTGAAATGAAGCTGCTCAATCTGTGTTTGTAAGCGAGGTAGATTTATGAGTAAGCAGGAAATCTTTTAACCCATGGGTAGATTCCAAGCCAGATCTGGGTGGCAAAAATCAGACAGCTGGTAGATGGCAGCAAAGGGATATAGAAGACACTCAGATCAAACTTTAATACAATCAGAGACCAATGCAGTAGAAAAGCATTTGCTCTCTGCTTACTGATTTCTGAAATCCCGGATCTGGTGGCCAACATTTGGGCTTTAAAGGGCACAATATACATCTTAAATTAAGTCCAAACCAGGCTGATAATTAGTGCAGCTGACTTAATCTTTGCTATATGCCTGACCTCTGACATCCAGTTAGGACTGTTGATACTCGGAACATGTCTGTGAGGTAGCAGCTTAAAGAAGCTGCTGCTTTTAACAAATGCTCCAAGTGAATTTTTTATTTAAAGCGTGTCATTTAAACACATCTTTAGGGCTTTAAGAGTCGTGGTGGCGCAGTGATTAGAATGCAGTACTGCAGGCTACTTCTGCTGACTGCCGGCTGCCAGCAGTTTGATTCTGACCGGCTCAAGTTTGACTCAGCCTTCCATCCTTCTGAGGTCAGTAAAATGAGGACCCAGATTGTTGGGGGCAAGATGCTGACTCTGTAAATTGTTTAGACAGGGCTGTAAGGCACTGTGAAGTGGTATATAAGTCTTAAGTGCTATTGCTATTCTGTACAAATAAAGGAATAGCCAAATGAGAGAACATCCTGGCTGGATTTGCTGGAACTATAGTTCAGCAATGCATAGAACACCACAGTTTTCTTAGCATGATAACATGGGCCCAAAACATAGGATATACTATTGAATTGGATAAGTGGGAGAATTTGTGGAAGATAAACTATAAGATGATACTGTCCATACCCTACAAAGAAAACCTTTACAAAATGTTCTACCGATGGCACCTCCCACCGGCGCGTCTAGCCAAGATGTTCCCAAATACATCTTCGATGTGTTGGAAATGTAAATCACAGAAAGGGACATACTACCATCTCTGGTGGCTATGCCGAAGGGCAAAACAATACTGGCAACAAATTAAAACAATGATTGAAGAAATTACGAAACAAAAACTTGAAATGAGACCGGAAACCTTTTTATTGGGAATCATCACAGCAAATTATACCAAAGAAATAAAATATCTAATCATTCATATCCTCACAGCAGCACGTATACTCTTTGCCCAGCATTGGAAATCTGAACAGTTACCTACAGAAGACAAAATAATAACTAAAATTACAGAATGTGCAGAATTAGATAAACTTACAAAAGAAATACAAGAGAAGGATGATACTGATTATTATTTAGTATGGCAAAAATGGTACGGCTGGCTGGAGGCAAAAATAGGAATACAAAGATAGTTTATGACTAATCAATAGAAATGTATAGAAGTAAATAAGGAATCAATTATATATATATATATATATAACCGTGTAAATAGATGATTATAGACATTAATATAAATACAAAAATGGAAAATACTCCACCGTTATAGTAACTTCTAAGAGTCAGTCATTGGACTGAATCGATGTTTGTTAGTTTTGTATGTTATTTTATGTATTTATGTTGGTTTTGTTTTTTCTTTTTATTATTAATAAAAATTTAAAAAAAAAAAAAAAAAAAAGAACACCACAGTTTTCTGACTTATACTGTACAGCACCTTTAGTGATTGCAATATTGAGAAGGAACCTCTTCTCCCTTTTCTGTCATATCAAATATTTTCCTAGACCAGGGGTCTCCAACCTTGGTCACTTTAAGACTTGTGGGCTTCAACTCCCAGAGTTCAGCAAAACTGGCTGAGGAACTTTGGGAGCTGAAGTCCACAAGTCTTAAAATGGCCAAGGTTGGAGACCTCTGTCCTAGACAGTCTAAACATTCTTCAGATGCTTGGAACGTCATGCCCTGTTTAGAATGGAAGTTTTCTTATTCTCCCTGCAGGAAAAAAATATGACCAGAATCTAGCATGGCATCATACAGCTAGTCTTCCACTTACTGTCGTTTGTTTAACAACCGTTCAAAGTTACAACATCACTGAAAAAAGTGACTTGCAACCAGTCCTCACACGTATGACTGTTGCAAGCAGCATTCCATGGTCACATGATCACATTTTAGGCACTTGGCAAATGGCATGTATTTACAATGGTTGCAGCATCCTAGGGTCATGTGATTGCTGCTTTAACCTTCCCAGTTGGTTTCTGACAAGCAAAGTCAATGGGGGGAAGCCAGGGTTACTTAATGGCAGCATGATTCGCTTAATAACTACAGTGATTTGCCTAACTGTGGCAAAAATGGTCATAAAATCGGGTACAACTCACTTAACAGCCATCTTGCTTAGCCCCAATTGTGCTTGTAACTAATTGTGGTTGACAACTACTTGTAAAGGAATAGACTTCTTTGCTAGGGCTCTCATATTTGATTTGATTTGATTTGATTTATTTGATTTATATACCGCCCTACTCCAAAGGACTCAGGGCGGTGAACAGCCAAACAGTAAAAATACATAGATACAAAATTTAAAAACAAAGTAAAATCGAATTAAACAATTTGGCCCAGACAGATTAAAACACCCCAATCATTTAAAAACCGATTAAAATTTGCATAATTAAAAAGAGGAAAAGATTAGGCCAGGCCCGCCTGGTGGAATAAAAAGGTCTTAAGAGTGCGGCGGAAGGTGCGCAGATCCGGGATCCTCCGTATCTCTGGGGGAAGCTCGTTCCAGATAGTAGGTGCCCCCACAGAGAAGGCTCTCCCCCTAGGGGCCACCAGTCGACATTGTTTGGCCGACGGCACCCGGAGGAGCCCCTCTCTATGAGAGCGTACCTGCCGGTGGGAGGCTATTGGTGGTAGTAGGCGGTCCCGTAGATAACCAGGGCCTAAGCCATGGAGCGTTCTAAAGGTGGTAACCAAAACTTTGAAGCACACCCGGAAGACCACCGGGAGCCAATGCAGCTCGCGCAGGAGAGATGTTACATGGGAACGCCATGTCGCTCCCATTACCACCCGCGCGGCCGCACACTGCGCCACTTAGAGCCTCTGGGTACTCCTTAAGGGGAGCCCCATGTAGAGAGCGTTACAATAGTCCAATATTTGATTGGCACAAACCCAGAGAGCCACTAGATGGCAGCAGCTATACAGAAAATTAACAATTTGTTGTCAGCTATGGTCACTTTGGGTCAGATGCAGTGGCTCAGTGGCTAAGACGCTGAGCATGTCAATCGAAAGGTGGGCAGTTCAGCGGTTCGAATCCCTAGTATCGCGTAACAGGGTACTTGTCCCAGCTTCTGCCAACCTAGCAGTTCAAAAGCACGTAAAAATGCAAGTAGAAAAATAGGGACCACCTTTGGTGGGAAGATAACAGTGTTCTGTGCGCCTTTGGCATTTAGTCATGCTGGCCATGTGACCATGGAGACGTCTTCGGACAGCACTGGCTCTTCTGCTTTGAAACAGAGATGAGCACTGCCCCTTAGAGTCGGGAACGACTAGCACATATGTGCGAGAGAAACCTTTACCTTTACCTTTATGATCACTTCAGTGTTTGCAACCGAGATATGTTAGCTCTATCAGACTCCCAAAAATTCAGGGGTTCATTCCTAATTAAACGTATAAATCTAAATCATCTTTTTTGTTGATACAGCATAGAATGTCTCAATTCTTTCATATTGACTTTGTCAATATCAGAGACTAGGTCTAAAGTTCACACGCGAAACGAACTTTGTGAACCATAATACTATGCTGATATAAGTTTGATAGGTGTGATAATACCTATTTAATGCTACATTATTGCCATGGCTGCAATAGTAATAGGAACATGAATTCTTTTCTGATTCACATTCCATCAAGATTCCTTGAGCTTCAGAGGTAACAAAAAACAAAACAAAATGTGAGTCTGGCTTCCCCATAGACTTTGCTTGTCAGAAGATCACATGACCCCAGGACATTGCAACTGTCATTAATTTGAGTCAGTTGATAAACATCTGAATTTTGATCATGTGACCATGGGGATACTGTAACGGTCGTAAGTGTGAAAAGTGGTCATAAGTGACTTTTTCTTCAGTGCCGTTATAAGTTTGAACAGTCACTGAATATACCTGTACCTGAATATATTTTTTAAAAGATTTAACAAATCCTAAACATGACATTTTTGGAACCTTTTCAAAGAGAAGAAAGGTAATTCTCAAGGCTTAACTTTCCACTATGTTTCAATTGCAGATCGCCAAGGCCTCAAGGAGACGCCTGCAGGTGGGCATGGCCTATTCGGAGAGGCACCACATTCGCATTTCCCAGCAAGATTTCAAATTATTTCGGACTCTGTTTCTCCTCATGATTTCCTTCTTTGTCATGTGGAGCCCCATCATCATCACCATTCTCCTCATTTTAGTACAGAAGTTCCAACCAGATGTGAACATTGCATCGTTTGTTTTCTTCTGGATAATGGCGTTTACATTTTCCAATTCAATCGTCAATCCTGTTTTATACAATATAGTCCAATTTAAACATGGTTGGAGGCAAATCTTTTTCTGTTGCCAAAATCCCCTTGGGAAAAAAGAGACTACAACGGACACATCCATGAAGCAGCAGAATGGGAGACATTTCACAGTATCTGTTATCACCAGATAACCGTGTGGTATTCCTTGTGAGAAGAAGGTCAACAGTTTTTAAGAACTGGAGTAAGCAGTTGAGAAAACAGTTTGTACAGACAGTTGTGGTTTCGTTTACCTTGGTAAAAAACATGGAGGAATAAATCTAGTAGCAATAAACGTGCATTAAAACAGTTTAGCTGGGAACATCTCCATACTATACCATCCTAAACTAATTAAAATAATGATTTATTCAGGATCTTAAAATCTCCTTTTGTATATCCATGACCTAACAACAGGTTCACACAGGACTGTTGATTTCATAAGAGTGAGTATACACTGGAAAAAAGGACCAGCTACTGGGAATTTTCACCACTTAAGTAGGACTATACCACTTTTAACATGCCAGTTTTCCTTTTGAATGGTGTTTGTCATCCTTGACAACTTTAGATTGTATGGATTACAACTCCTAGAATTCCCCAGTTGAAGTCCACACAAGTTAAAGTTACCAACATTGAGAAACACTGTTCTACCGGTAGGAAGTCACAATCAGAATTTCTGACCACAGATTTATTTTCATTGATGGCTATCAAGAATGAAAGAATCAATTCCTGATTGCGCTGTTCTTGAGCCTGGCTGCTGACTGATTCTTCAAGGAGACTTTTTAATTGTTCTTTTTTGTAGGAACTAATAGCAATTAGTTCCTGGCCAATTAGGAACCAGTCCTCTTGGAATTTCTTTAAAATGGACCATTGAGAAGTCTATCTAGAAGAGAAATCAATCAAGAACCAGCTTTTTTAAACTCCTGTGACATGGGTTAATCAAAGATCAGTTTACAAGCTTCAAATGCAATTGCCCAGTTGGTGTTCTGTGTTTAGTTTTCTGTGAGCTTCTGTGACAACAAAGTCTTCAATTTTTCCATATATTTTACCAGGAACCCTAACCCTAACCCTCCTAAACATATCCATGCGCTCCAAATTCGTTGGTGATGTTCATTTTTCTGTCCAAATTCATGGAAGTCTAACCATAACCCAAAGTGGATTTCCCCCCCAATGGGGAAATTTTCCTATTTATTTTATAAGGAAATGCAGAAAAGCCACTCTCGAAAAGTAAACATACCCATTCGCTCCGAATTCGTTGGCGACGTCCATTTTTCATTCCGAATTCATGGTGGCCTAACTCTAACCGGATTTTCCCAACAATGGGATTGCCCATGTACTTTACCAGGAAATATACCCATATGCTCTGAATTCGTTGGTGATGTTCATTTTTCTGTCCGAATTCATGGTGGCGTAAGACTAATCCTAAATGGATTTTCCTGCCAATGGAATTTTCCCATGTATTATACCAGGAAATGCAGATATACCCGCCTTGAAACTTAAGTACCCTCCTAAATATACCCATGCGCTTCGAATTCACTGGCGATGTCCATTTTTCTGTCCAAATTCATGGTGGCCTAACCCAAATCCTAAATGGATTTTCCCACCAATGGGATTTTCCCATGTATTTTACTAGGAATTGCAGATAGGCCGGACTTGACAAGTAAGTGCCCTTCTAAAGATATCCATGCACTCCAAATTCATTGGCAATGTCCATTTTTCTGTCCAAATTCATGGAGGCTTAACCCAAGCCCTAAATCCATTTACCCTCCAATGGGATTTTTCTTTCTTGAAGATAGCAGCCACTGCTGCCAGTAAATGTCAAGACATCAGAAACTGACCATTCAGTCTCAAGAAAAGATTTTCAGCTGGTCAAGATGGGGGGTATACTTTCACTATCCATGAGCTGAAGTTCTACCAACACAGTAATATTTGTGGATCATTTGTAGAATGAGAAGGGACACAACACATAATTAGTTCTGACAATTTGGATTTATAATTTTTAAACATTGCAAAGACAACATGCTAATTACATATCCCAAATGCATAAATACACGTTCACAACACAATCGTGGTGCTATTACACTGATTTCAGTTTATTAACTGGTGGAAGGATAAATGATAAATTACTTAACTGTAATTCACATAAGTATACTTAAAATCCAAATGAACCCACGAATGAATTGAATTGAAATGAAGGACTTCTCTTGAAACAGTACATTTTAAAAGCTTTTAACTATTGAGAATCTGCTTTCCTGCTTTCGATAGAGTATGTTGTCTTTAGTCGCAGAATCCTAAGAAAGAAAAACAGAAACTAAATCTGCTAGAATTCCCAGAATGCATTACAAAATAAAGCGAACTGGTTTGATTTAATATGGTTCTAGAGCTGGCAGATGGTACAAACCAGCCTACTAAATTAGAGTATGAATGTCTGTTTAATTTCACCCTGGATGTCTCAAGAATAGGAGCCTGGATAGCTCTGCAGACAAGACACTGTAATTTAACACCAGCTGTCTGCAATTAAAGTAAGTTCGAATCTTGCCAGGCTCAAGGTTGACTCAGCCTTCCATCCTTTCTAAGGTAGGTAAATTGAGGACCCAGTTTGTGGGGGCAATAAGCTGACTTTGTATAAAATATACAAAAGTATGAAGGCTATTGCTTAACGCACTGTAAGCTGCCCTGAATTTCCGGAGAAGGGCGGCATATAAATCAAATTTTTTAAAAAAGAATAATACATACGTCTTAAAGTTGACAAGTCTAAAAAATACTGATATAGACAAACCTTCCATGAGTAATAGGTTAAAGCTTTTTGCAGGACAGGCAATATTGTATGAATGAGTATGACAGCTGCTATAATGTTAACTGAGCCTAGGTACTCTGAAGTGAGGGAAAGACATGAATTTCAGGATGGAAAAACAGATATTCTGTGGATTGCAGAACTGCAGGAAGAGCTTTCCTAGCAAAAAGAGAAAATAATCCAAATTTAAATTAAGAAGTCAGATTGCCTCTATTTGCAAAAGGACTGGAGAGTGAAGAATGTACTACCCGACTCTGGTTTCTTCCCCAACCCCCCAAAACTTTAACCTTAGACTGTCTATTGTTGACCTCACCCCATTCCTAAGAGGTCTTTAAGGGGTGTGCATGAGCAGTGGCTCAGTGGCTAAAATGCTGAGCTTGTCAATCGAAAGGTTGGCAGTTCAGTGCTTTGAATCCTGAGTGTCGCGTAACGGGGTGAGCTCCCATTACCTGTCCCAACTTCTGCCAACTTAGCAGTTCAAAAGCACGTAAAAAATGCAAGTAGAAAAATAGGGACCAACTTTGGTGGGAAGGTAACAGCATTCCGTGAGCCTTTGGCGTTTAGCCATGTCGGCCACATGACCACGGAGATATCTTTGGACAGCGTTGGCTCTTCGGCTTTGAAATGGAGATGAGCACTGCCCCCTAGAGTCAGGAACAACTAGCACACATGTGCGAAGGGAACCTTTACCTTTTTATAAGTGCACCAGCATGCCTACCGTCCCTGTCTTAATGTTCCCTTTTATTCGTATTAATTTCATGTATTCATAATCATGTTTATACTTATATCTATACATCTAGATAGATAGATTATCTATTAGATAGATACATCTATCTAATACATGCGTGATGAAAATAAATAAATAAAATAAAAAGTATATGAATCATATCTGAGAAAACTGGTAGATAACAATGAATTAACATGGAAGAGCAGAAATTCCTCTGGGCCTCCTTTTTTTTCAGTTCCATTATTTATTAAAAACACTCAATGTTTAACTCATGGCCAAATTTGTTTTCTTCCTTTCATGAGTCTTCTCATGCCTAATTTGCCTTCCAATGCCCTCTCCTTGGTCCCCCGAGATTCTGGCCAAGTAGACTTGAGATCACAGCAGCTGACTAGAATTCAGTGTGAAAAACAGTGGCATTCCGGATGGATAAATAGGTTTATAAGTTTGTTTCTAGTATCAGCTACTCCTCAAATCTGATTGCACCTCTTTTTTTTTTTAATTTGATTTATATGCCGCCCTTCTCTGGAGACTCAGGGCGGCTTACAATGCGTTAAGCAATAGCCTTCATCCTTTTGTATATTTATACAAAGTCAGCTTATTGCCCCCACAAACTGGGTCCTCATTTCACCTACCTTAGAAAGGATGGAAGGCTGAGTCAACCTTGAGCCTTGGAGAGATTCGAACCAGCAGTAAATTGCAGGCAGCTGTGTTAATAACAGGGTGCGTAGACCACTGTACTATCAAGGCTCTTAAACTTTATGTATTAGGATTTGCCATGAATATAACTTGAAGCATATGTAACAGATGTCTTAGATTTACAAATTTTCCGGCCATTGGGTCGTACTGGTTAGAAATTCTAAGAGTAATAGCCCCAACAATCAGATTGGTGAAAGCTAGTCTTAAGGCATATGATGAACCAGACCAGTATTTCTCAACCTCACAACTTTAAGATGTTGCCCGGAGAATTCTGGGAGTTGAAGTCCATGCAATTCAAAGGTTGGGTGAGATTTAACAGATTAACAGAGTTGGAAGGGACCTTGTAGGTCTTCTAGTCCAACCCTCCGCCTAAGCAGGAGACCCTACACCATTTCTGACAAATAGTAGTCCAATCTCTTCTTGAAAGCTTCCAGTGATGAAGCTCCCATAATTTCCGAAGGCAAGCTGTTCAGGGGTGGGTTCTTCTTACCTTTACTACCGGTTCGCAGTGGGGCTGTGCGTGCGTGCTTGCTTCGCTCACACGTGCACTCTTCTGCACATGCGCAGAAGCATTTTGATGACATCGGGGTCGGTGGGCGGAGCCTTCCGCCGGTTTTACTACCGGTTCTATAGAACCGGTGCAAACCGGGGGCAACCGACCACTGAAGCTGTTCCTTTGGTTGATTGTTCTCACTGTCAGAAAATTTCTCCTTATTTCTAGGTTGAATCTCTCCTTGAGATTGAGAAACACTGATCTACACAAATGTATTAGGAACTTAAATTTTGCCCATTTGAAGAGATACATAATCTTTCACTCATAGTGCTATTTTCTTCCACAATCTCTCTGGAAGAGAGGCCCTGTTTTTATCAAGGATCTTTTTATTTATTTTTATTTATTCAATTTATATCCCGCCCTTCTCCAAGTGGACTCAGGGCGGTGCACAGACAGAACTAAAACACATACCAATACAAACTTTAAAATTATTTAAAAGAATTATATGACTTTGGCCCAAAGTTTAAAACATTCAAACCCATTGACAATTTAAAAAGCTAAAAAATGTTAAAAAATCTTAAGGTGATTATGGCATCTGTGTGCCACTAAGAATTCTAACTGCCCTAGAACTAGCAGCTTTCTTGTTTCCAATCTATCCCATCCTGAGCCAGATTTCCTGTAAAATTCTAATAAAATGTTCCTTACCATTGTGTACAATACGCCTGTATTGCTTGTCTAGGCAGATTTCCACCTGCTTTTGCCTGACAACTCTTTGTGCTTCTGGGGTTAGCCCATCTGGAGTCCGGGAAAACAAAAACGAGTAGCTATCATCGCAAGTCCCATCCTCAGTAATATTACGGCAGGAGTAATGTAGAGCATAAGTATCGTAATCCGTGGCCACAACCCAGTGATCATCATCTAAGATAAAGCATAATGAAAATTCAGTATCACTTTACATGTAGGCCTCAACGTATGATGACTATTGGGACCACAATTTCCTAAGCAAGGGGGGCTGTTCAGTGAGTCGTGCCTGATTTTACAACTTTTTTTTTACCCAGGATTGTTAAGTGAATCACTGTAGTTGTTAAGTCCAATTTAACAACTTTTCACAAGACCCCAAGATGCTGCAACGGTTGTAGATTCGTGCTAGTTGCCAAGCTCCCAAATTTTGATCACGTCACTGTGTGGATGCTATGATATTTGTAAGTGAGAGGACTGGATGTAAATCACTTTTGTCAGTCCTGTTGTAACTTTGAATGGTCATTAAGCAAATATTGTAAAATGAGGACTACCTGCATTTTTTATTCCACCAAGCCCATTAGTTCAGGATCACATTATTGATCCACTGTTACTCACTTTAAAAGCGATTTCATACATTCTTTCTTTATGAACAAAGCCTGTTTTGTAGGCATCTACTTAGCAGTGTAACAAGTATTGCCATTCAGGTACTGAACTTTATCAGAGAGGAGATTATCTTTGTATTAGAAAATGCCAATTATTTAAAACCGATTCTGAAGTGTTTGAATACACGGGCAATTTGGTGGCTTGCATACATCTTTATGCTGTAAGTATAAAAATTATGAATAGAAACCAGATTTAAAAACATTATTTCAGAGGCAAATAAGAGCCTTGGTAGTACAGTGGTCTAAAGCACCCTGTTATTAAGACCAACTGCCTGCAATTACTGCAGGTTCGAATCTCGCCAGGCTCAAGGTTGACTCAGCCTTCCATCCTTTCTAAGGTAGGTAAAATGAGGACCCAGTTTGTGGGGGCAATAAGCTGACTTTGTATAAAATATACAAAAGTATGAAGGCTATTGCTTAACGCATTGTAAGCCGCCCTGAGTCTCCGGAGAAGGGCGGCATATAAATCAAATTTTAAAAAAAATGGCAAGTCAAACTGGTGAAGACAACAGTGAGAATGGTTTTCAGAAATGTTGCTAATGGTATTTTGGTGCTGAAGAAGCCAAAAGTTTAACATCCGTAAACTGGCCAGGCTTAAGTGATAAAAGTCCTGAAATTTACACAGGAATCAACATTAGGAGTACATTATCTTTAAAGTTATCAAATAACTTGAGGAGGGTTAAGGACTTCTAACAGCTTCCTTTCTAAAAGAATGGAGCCAGTTTTTGATAAGATACAATAGAAGGGATGCCCCAGATTTAGTGTTTAACCTGACCCAGACAAGCACACCAGCCTTTGGACTCCCGAGTCCTTAGGAAGCAGCCTGTTGTGATTTCGTGGCAGACCAAAGGTTGAATATCTGTTGAAGGTGGAGGTGAAAAAAAAAAAAAAACCAACCCTGGAGACAAACAGCCTTTCCAGTAATATTTGATGATTTCTGGAGTTAGTCTGTTCTAGCCAAAAAAGGAAGGGAAAAAACCCTTTAAAAAGCAGGCAATTCCATCTGCCTTTTTTGAAGACTTCAAGGGAAAGCTAAAACCAGATTTTCAGCAGCTTAAGTAACAAAATCATTCAAACGGTAATTATGTCAGTCTATTCTGAGCAACTTCCTTAAATATAGCTGGAGCTTCAGTGGGCAGGCGTGGGAGATTTTCTCCTCCTTTCATCTACTGTATGTAAGGTTTAGAGATTTGACCGACATCTCTTCACAAAGTAAAAGAGACTAGATATATAACCTTCTCCCCCAACAATGTCCTACCTGTCAATGAATACTTCAGCTTCAATCAAAACAATCCAAGAGCACACAATAGATACAAACTTATGGTAAACCGCTCCAAACTTGATTGCAGAAAATACAACTTCAGTAACAGAGTGGTCAATGCCTGGAATGCACTACCTGACTCTGTGGTTTCTTCCCTAAACCTTTCACCTTAGACTGTCTACTGTAGACCTCACCCCATTCTTAAGACGTCTCTAAGGGGTGTGCATAAGCGCACCAGTGTGCCTACCGTCCCTGTCCTAATGTTCCCTTTTATTCATATCCATTTCATGTATTCATAATCATGTGTATACTATACTTGTATCTGATATCTAATACATGCTTGATGAAAATAAATAAATAAAAATAAATAAAAAATAACCTGGTACTTTCCAGATTTATTGAATTTTGGCTTTGAGAAGTCAAGGTAGCAAGAGCTCCTGGTATATACTCACTTCCTTTCTGGAGATATGAGGCCACACCCCAATATTTCATTTTAAACTTGGCAGGGTCCTCTGTCTCGGTGAAGGTGCCAATCATATCAGCACACATGTCCCAGTTACTGAAAAGGAGAGATGGATTTAAGGTCATAACTGTAAATCTGTAGCTACTTGGGCTTACCAGTAAGGAATAAAAGAATGTGAGCAGGTAGAGGAGAGGCAAAAACTATAACAGGCTGGATCACATCATTTTTTGACTTGAGAAATAACCATTTTTCTCCTTGTGTTGAACCTTCCAACACAACTCAAAGTGTATAATAATCAAGGCTGGATGTGATTTTTGACATAAGATGGAAATTACCACCATCACTATTGGATTGTCCCCTGCCTTGTCCTTCTTTATTGCAGTAGTAATACATTCTAAAACCTACCAGTTTGATGTCCCAAGGTATCTAAGATAGCAACCTGACCCTCCCTAATGATAGAGTTGGACCGTCTGTGAAGGAAGCTGGATCTCAAGACTCACCCGAAGAGCACGACTCGGCCTCTGGCAGTGGCAGTCATTTTATCATTCTCATCCACAGTAAAGCTGGCCACCACGTTATCCTGAAGAAACAATCCTTCAGGGTCTTTTTTGGCTATAGCATACCAACTGCCAGCGTACTGCCAAAAGAGAGAAAAAAATCCTTAGCAGACCTGTCTAAAGGAATAGGTCAATAGGAGGAAATGAAATGCCAACGAAGAAAGTTTCAATTGCAGCCATGTTCATCTGTCATTAACATTTGCAACAAAAATGAAATTCCAAATACACTATGCAAGGATGAACTTCAAGAAACCCTAAAACGTTTTAAGGGAAACTGAACAAACCTTGATTCTCAGCAAATGTTGCTTAAAATAAAATTCCATATTAAGTTGGTGAGTGCCACTTACAAGCCATATTTTGGGACTTCTGAGGACAGATGTACAAATTTTGATTATAGGCTTAAAGATATTTACTTATGTAGCAGGACTGTATTGATATCATCCTTCTCATCTTCTTATCTTTCTCATCTTCTCATCTTTCCTACTATCTTCTCCTATTGGTATCTATGCTTTATCGCTTGTTGTATCTTCTGATTAATGATTGTAACTATGATTTATGATATATGTCCTATTACTTTGTTTTTGTATGCACACTAAGAGCTTATGCACCAAATTCCTTGTGTGTTCAATCACACTTGGCCAATAAAGAATTCTATTCTATTCTATTCTATTCTATTCTATTCTATTCTATTCTATTTTTTTTTAATTTGATTTATATGCCGCCCTTCTCTGAAGACTCAGGGCGGCTTACAATGTGCTCAGCAATAGCCTTCATCCTTTTGTATATTTATACAAAGTCAGCTTATTGCCCCCACAACTGGGTCCTCAATTTACCTACCTTAGAAAGGATGGAAGGCTGAGTCAACCTTGAGCCTTGGCGAGATTCGAACCCTGCAGTAATTGCAGGCAGCTGGTCTTAATAACCAGCTTAATAACAGGGTGCCTTAAACCCCTGTACTACCAAGGCTCTTCTATTCTATTCTATTCTATTCTATTCCTTTCCTTTGAAGAAGGGTAGACTATATACAATAACTATGCCAAACTTAATAATTAACCTTTGTTTTATTTACCAGATAGTTCTTATGTTATTATGAAACCAATGGGAAGGTACAAATATATACCATTCCAGGATGACGCAAATTATCCACTGATTATGAGCCAATAGTCAAAGGAAAACACTAGATCCTGTATATCCATACCTTTTCCTTACATATCTAATTTTGATTTCCTTACTAATCAAGAAAAGGGAAAGAGAAAGTCGCCCACCAGTAAGAAATGTCCAATGTCAGATTTGTCTTTCCCAGAAAAATCAGAGTTGAAGAATTTTCTGCAATCTTACAAAAGGAAGTCTAAAATAATTTATGACTGTTGCCTGTCAAGAGTCCTAAAGATTTGTGCCTTATACTTCATGAAATGTGCTCTTCTGCATCTAAAGTAACTTGTCTCTCTATTTTATTTTTACTTATTTGTTAGGTATCATTCCACAATGCTCAAGGCAGTTTACAGCACTGAAAAAGGCCCATTACAAAACATAAGAGTAAAAACAATATCGTTGAAGTCGAGCCAAAATTAAGATCAGTATCAAAAATAATTGCTATCCATTGGAAGTGATCTAGAAAGCTTTTCCTTTTCCTGTCATCTCTAACACTGGTAAAGCAGAGATAAAGTGGATTAGATAACTCAGCCTTGTGGAAATTACACATAAATGATTTGGATAATGAAGTGGAGCCAATTCTCTTCCCCCACCAAAAAACCTGTCTGTCAATAAGAAAACTTGAAATCTAGCCTTTATAATAGAAGATGACTCACTTGGAGTTTACTTACAGATGAAATGTCTACATACATAGGCTGTCAACAACAATTGTGAACAACAATAATTTCAAGGAGGAACTTCAGGTAAAACGAAGTAACTGATGTTATTTGAAATGTAAACACATGTAATGCAATTCACAAAAGAGATTTCTCTAACACCCTTTGAAATTTATTTCTGAAAATAAATGGGAGGAGTGGAACAGTTTGCTGAGCAATGAACACAACTAACTGCCTTTCTCTGCTGCAAAGAGTGATAACCGTGAATTAGCTTCATGCAATGTTAACACTCTTATCCATTTAGCAGCGACAGAACGCATGGCATTTGATAGTGTAGAAGATGACAGTTCCTGCCCTGTTTTACATTTGGCAACCCAAGAAGCAGTAGATGAAAAAAAGAAGCATATCTGAGTTATATTTAGGTATGGTTATGAAATTCAAGGATAGAGACTCTATATCCGTCTAAATGGTTTCAAACTGCACAAAATTGTAGTTCAGCAACATTCAGAAACTCATGGATTTCCTAGACCTGGTGTAGGGCAGGAAAATCAAGGTGACATGGTAGATTTCAGGAAAGAAATTGAAGGCGGTAAGAAAGATGGCTACTTGGAAGAGATCATTTAATTCAGTTCAATTCAGAATAGAGCTGGAGAGGATCGTGGAGGTTTTCTAGTCCAACCCCCTACTCAAGCAGGAGACCCTATACAATTTCAGACAAATAAGTGGCTGTCCAGTCTCTTCTTAAAAACTTCCAGGGATGAAGCATCCACAATTTCTGAAGGCAAGCTGTTCCACTGGTTAATTGTTCTCACTGTTAGGAAATTTCTCCTTAATTCCAGGTTGCTTCTCTCCTTGATTAATTTCCATCCGTTGTTTCTTGTTTTGCCTTCTGGTGCTTTGGAAAATAAGAGGAACCCCCTCTTCTTTGTTGGCAGCCCTTCAAATAGTGGAATACTGCTATCATGTCCCCCCAGTCTTTCTTTTCTCTAGGTTGGCCATACTCTATCCATCAGGCTTACTGTACAGGCAGCTAAGAAGCCATCTCAGATTCTTTCATGTAACTGGGGAACATTTTGGAAAGTGGGGAGCAGCAAAAAGTGCAGGGATGGGCTGTAGGGGAGCAAACTAGAATAGCTAGAGGAAGGAAAAGATGAGGGCAGGATACTTACTCGATATTTATCAAAGTTTTCCTGAACCGTGAAGCTGCTCACTCGGCAGTCCCGCTGAGCTTGACATCTGCTATCCAATAATGCCAGGAACCCCACCAGCATCAACCAGGCAAGATTTGGACTCCCGAAAGACATCTTGCTCCTCTGTGCCTGCAACAAAAATCAAATACCAATCATAACATGGAAAAAAAAAAGGAAGACTGTCCAGAATAACCTAAAGGAAGGATGAAGAACAGGCTCTTTTAAGCATGTGGCAGATGAAATGGGAGGTCTTATGAATCCCCCCTAAATAGGGCACTAGAATTCCTCTAAAAGGGTCTTTCTGAACCAGGGTACTATTGGGACTTTTTGAGGTCTTCTTCTGTATGTCATAGTTACCAGAGAAAGGGGCTCAAATAATTAAAGAAGTTACTTGTCTGCGGAAGAGAAATGCAGTCCCAGCAGCTAAATTCTAAAGCAAACAGGAAGAGGACATGAGCTTTATAACCTTGGGTGAGGTTGGCGGAGAAGTTTTTTTTTGTAAACCCATGCAGTAGAATTGGGAGGGGGAGGCAAGCAGAGACCAGGCGTTAGATTAATTCCAGCTGCTGGCCAAACTCTCCTAACAAAGATCTTGCATAACTCTGCAGCAGGAGGCTGGGGAAGCAAACAGCAATGATCTTTGATCCCCAGTCACTGGCTAGATGGGGGGTGGGTGGGTAGAGCACATACTCTCCCCTGGATTCTGGACCAAAAGAGGTCTCTCCAGTTTATGTAACACCATCTGAGTAAAAGCCAAGTCAAAAAAAGCAGGATTCACGCAGCAAGCTCTGGCTATGGTTCAGAAGAGGGCTTGATGGCTGCAGGTGTCTCTGAGAACTGTTCTTGTTTTCATGCTCATTTGGGCGTGGTTAGAAACACTTCATGATATAATTGTTAAGGCAAAAAGGATTCTCGTTCATTTAATGTTGTCGTCGATTATTTGGGCCTCTCTGATATTTTCTTTTACAATGGAATTGTGGTAGGAAAGAAGATCCAACATCCATTGTATGACAATATAGTGACTGGACTGTTTTTCCTCTAAGGGCCAGTGTAGTTATCTTGTTTTTAAAAGGGAGAATAAGTGTCTTACATGTGAATGTGAGCCACAGCAGAAAATGGAATTCCTGGGGATGAGCTGCCTTTCACATAAAGTATGTCAGCAATAGCAAGGTGCCACTGACATATATTATACACAGGCATTCCTCGACTTACAACCACAATTGAGCCCCAAAATTCTGTTACTAAACAGGACAATTGTTAAGTGAATTTTGCCCCATTTTTTGACTTTTCTTGCCACAGTTGGTAAGTGAATCGCTGCAATTGTTAAGTCGGTAACATGGTTGTTAAGTGAATCTGGCTTTCCCCCTTTGACTTTGCTTGTCAGAAGGTCACAAAAGGTGATTATATGACCCGGGACACTAAAACCATCATAAATATGAGTCAGTTGCCAAGCATTTGAATTTTGATCACAACCATGGGGAAGCTGCAATGGTTGTAAGTGGGAAAAATTGTCATAAGTAACTTTTTTCAATGCTGTTGTAACTTTGGTCACTAAATTAACTGTTGTAAGTTGAGGACTATCTATAATTCACATTGTATAATGATACCATGATTCATTAGTCTAGCATGGTGAGGGGGGGGATTCTGTGAATTGAAATCCACCCATCTTCAAGGTCCGAAGATTGAGAAATACTGAATTAGAAATTGCTACAATTTCTAGCAAAAAGCCTAGGGTAGGCACAGCATGTATACCATAATGTCTGAAGGTTGCTAAAGTATTTGTACCTGAGCAACAAGTATAATCTAATGCTAAGAAGCCATCAGCAGAACATACGCAATCACATAAGGCAGCTTTTGCCCATACCTTTTCTTCCTATGGCAACTCAAATGTTGAGGTCAGTGCGAAGCACTTACTCAAGAACAAATGAGGTCTCTCTTGTGAACAAAACAACAATCATTGTACCTGATTGCGTATGGATCTTTCCTAATTTGATACACTGAGGTTATCTCCAGTCATCTGAGAGGTTACCCAGCAGCAGCCCTTAGAACATATGATAATACAATACCAAAAAAAAATCCTAAGTGTTTACAATGGGTTATATCATTGCATGTGGAATATATGGATTTTATTTTAAACTGTTTTGTTACGATATGAGATGAATGCCATGTTACCAACTCTTGATATGCCATACTTCCAAGATGGCATCCATTGCTATGGAGGTGCAATCAGAATACTGCTTTGGGTTTTAGTCAACAGACACAAGAAGGATATTAAAAGATGTGTCAAATATAGAAGGTGGTCACAGAGATCAGCAAATCAAAGTCTTTAGAATTTACCTCACACCCCTTTCCCTGTCTTGTTGATAGGTTTCTTTCATTATTATATAAAAGGATTTTTTTCTTCCTTTTCAAGCAATTGGCATTTCCTCACAGTCAATATTTATTCTGAAGTTTCAACATGTCCGTACCGTAATCATTTAAAAGAGCCTGTTAAATATTCTTTAAAGAAGTAGCCTCAGCTGGACAACGCAGAACAAGCTGAAACTAGATGACGCTCCATATTTGGATGGAATAACAATTCTAGCAACAATGGTGAAAAGGTGTTGCAAACAAAAATATCCAGATTATGTTGTTAATCAATTCCTTCCTCTTTCTTTCATTAAAAATCCTAAACCCTGGACCTGGACAGGAAACACATATTTCTTTGTTGCTCGGATCAATATTTTTAGTCAAATCAAATAAGTTTAAAGAACAGTAGCAGAATCAAGAGGAAAGCCCATTTAATTTCTTGAGAAACATGTCAGAAGCAGAGGTGGTATTCAGCAGGTTCTGACCAGTTCTGGAGAACCAGTAGCAAAAATTTTGAGTAGTTCGGAGAACCAGCAGATACCACCTCTGCCTGACCCCATCTGTTCTCTGCCTCCTAAGTCCCAGCTGATTGGGAGGGAATGGAGATTTTACAGTATTCTTCCCCTGCCACACCCAGCAAGCCATGCCCAAAAAGCCATGCCCAACAAGCCACACCATGCTCAACAAGCCACGCCCACAGAACCGGTAGTAAAAAAACACTCAACATGAAGCAAATCATATCAAGCTCAGTACTAAGTGAACCATTCGTTTTCAAATGAGGGTGAAAAACCATATATAACCCGCTTTTGCCATCGCATGCCAAAAGGGGAGAAGTGCAGGGGTGTCGCGCATGCATGTGCCCACACCCATAATTCAGTGCGCACCGCCCTACCGTGCATGTGCATGCGACCCCCCCCCGCGCTCTCCCTGCTATTGGCATGTGATGGCACAGTGGGACTGGAAGGCCCATTTTTTGCCCTCCCCAGGCTCCAGAGCCTTTCTAGGAGCCTGAGGAGGGCAAAAACAGCCTTCCCCAACCCCCTCCCCCCCAGAGGCCCTCCGGAGGCCAGAAACGGCCCATTTCCCGACTTCCGGTGGGCCCGGAAGGCCCGAAAATCAGCTGGCCTGCATGTGCATGTGCGCTGGAGCTGAGCTAGGGCAAGGCTCGCGTACCCACAGATATGGCTTCGCATGCCACCTGTTGCATGTGTGCCATAGGTTCGCCATTACAGTTATATAAAGTCCAAAGCTTTTTTTTTTTTTTTCCCCTACGGGAGAAAATGTTTTACAAAAGCAATGACTTCTGATATGCAGGATTTTATACAGATAGCCCTTGGTTAACAATCACTTTGTTCATTCAAAATTATGACAACATTGAACTAGTTATCCTCACGATTGGTCCTTGAAGTTCCATCCATCCCGGCATCCTGTCACAGGATTGTAATGACAGAAATTCTAGTCCCAGTTATCACCATTAAGCAAGGACTGTATATCGGGTCTGTAGTCATTAAAAGAGCAACTTAACTATGTCCTTAACTATGGAAGTGCTGAACTATGGAAATCTTCTTGCTGCTTTATTTAAAAAAACACACCTATATTTGGAATATGATATAGCACCAAAATTCCAACTAAACTATGGAGTTTATGCCACAATTTCAATGTTTAAATATTTAAATATCACTATCTGGCAAAAACTGACAAAGTCAGCAGTGATGGGTTGCTATTGGTTCGCCCCGGCTCAGGCGAGCCGGTAGCGGTGGCAGGGTGCTCCGCCCACCCCCCACCCCACTCCCAGACGTCTCTGCGCATGCGCAGAGCAAACTGGTAGCGGATGAAATTGAAACCTACTATCGAAAGTCAGTCACTACAAATTTTATCGGAAATAAAATTATATTTGAAGTTGAGCTAGTTCGAGCATTTGAATGGTAATCAAAGATCCTTTTTCAATGCTCTGGATTGATGTCATTCCTTTTAAAAAAATAAAAGCTGGATCGTTTCTTCGTTCAAAATATAAACATTCATACAGCATAAAATGCAAAAGGAAACTTAAGAAGCTCTTCCTTTTCAAACTTGCTGGATGCTGAAAAAGCAGTGAATGAAGTATTCAGCCGTTCTTGGTTGATCAAATTAACCTTGGCTTAAATATCTTGTCAAAGGTTGCACTGATAACATGACAAAACCAGGGTTTTTTGGTCTTTCTTTTTTTTAAAAAACTTAGCCATTTGGGATAAGTAGGAGAATGAGTTGCTATCGCTATGGTTACAGTATTTAAATGTAAATACTGGATGAGCAAGTAGAACCTCATAAATACCTTTGGCATTTCCCTGGGACTTGAAGCTATTTAAATAATCACTTGCTCATCTTTTATCCTTCTTAGACTATCCACGTACTGCAGAAGCTCAAGGCTGAGGCATCACTAAGAATGATTCCATAAATAGTTGCATTTGCTATAGTAACCACAAACATCAAAGGCAAAAAGCAACATATGTATTAAAATAACAAGCTCTGGCTATGCCAAAATTGCCTGAAAATCAGAACAAAATCGATCTGATTCACCACTTCTTTAAAATTCAAATTTAATCATGATGATAGAGGTTGGTGGTAGGGAATGTGCCAAAATGTCTCACCTGAAAACAGAATCAGACACATAAATCTCCATCTTCTCCTTAAGAATGAACTGCTATCATTTTTTTAAACTAAGAAAATTATAAAGGGATAAAGGGATTTGCACACATTTGGAAGGCATTTGCTATTGTTCCTCTTATAACACCATGTTAATAAAATAATTCTTCACTACTGATGTTCACTTAAGCTGGTTATTTATTTTCATTGTTGTTATTTATGGATAATTTACTTTTTTAAAAAAATAGATTGCCTAGATTTGTTTTGTTATTTGTTGTTTTGCTGAAAAGTGCCCTAATTATCTTGGGCAAAGGGTATTAAATAAACAAACAAATATTTGAAATTGGTCTTATTAAATTCTAAGAGACTTAGATCTCCGTAAACATGCATAACTCTTAAGGCTTTTTCCACTGTGGCCGTAAGCAGCTTTTGACTCCCTTGCGTAAATAGGCTGGAAATGAAGTCAGCTTAAGAAACCTCTTTCCAGATTTCAGCCCCTTCTCGTGCTTTGGCCCTCCGGGATAGCCTGGGATTCTGTCTTTACCCCTCCCACTGTTCTAGGAAGGCAAACAACCAATTCCATTTCTTTTCATGTATGGGTCTTTGAGGACATGTGGCGTTCATTGATAAGCCTTTACGTCAGCCCTCCTCCGTTGACGCTGCCTTCTCCTTGGCACTTCCCCTGTGATGTGTTTCATCAGTGGCATGGTCTAAGCCACAACAAAACCCAAGCATGTTTTATTCTCCTTCCTGTCCCTTGTGTTAGAAAGTGAAAATTAACAGAACTCTTAGTCAATTTCACCTGATTTTAAAACTGCATCTCATTAAACTTCAGATACAGTGAAAATTTAAGTGAAATGACATTTCAGTGAACTTGTTAACAAAAAAAAATCTCATCCTGGATCAGGACTCCTTACGCACGGTCACTCAGGCACTCGTCACTTCCCGCCTGGACTACTGTAATGCTCTCTACATGGGGCTCCCCTTGAGGAGCACCCGGAGGCTCCAACTGGTGCAGAATGTGGCCGCGCAGGGGATTATGGGAGCGCCCCATTGCTCCCATAATCCCCCGCACGGCCACATTCTCCTGCGCGAGCACCTCTCCTGCGTGAGCTGCATTGGCTCCTGGTGGTCTTCCGGGTGCGCTTCAAGGCGTTGGTTACCACCTTTAAAGCGCTCCATGGCTTAGGGCCTGGGTACTTACGGGACTGCCTTCTGCCACCGATAGCCTCCCATCGGCCAGTACGCTCCCACAGAGAGGGACTCCTCAGGGTGCCATCGGCCAGGCAATGTCGGCTGGCAACCCCCAGGGGGAGGGCCTTCTCTGTGGGCGCACCTGTCCTTTGGAACAACCTGCCTTCGGAGATACATAGGATCCCAGATCTCTATGCTTTTTGCCGTGCCCTTAAAACTTCTTTATTTCATCAAGCTGGGCTGGCTTGACCCCCTCCCCCTTAGATATTTTTAATTATTAATTGATTTTAGTTGGGGTGTTTTAAATTTTATATTGGGTCAAAACTTGTTTAATTCTTTTAAATGTTAATCTTAAATTTTGCATGTGATGTTTTTATTCTTGGCTGTTCACCGCCCTGAGTCCAGTAGAAAGGCGGTATAAAAATCTAATAAAATAAATAAATAAATAAATAAATAAATAAATAAATTATTATTATTTTTAAGTCTAGTGTTTCACAAATTCAACAGTCCAATTCTTTCATCTTGGTCTTTGGTTTCTTTTCTACCAAAACTCATAATGGACCGCTAATGGACCAAATGGAACAAAAACAAGGGAAAGAAAAAAAAGAGCTGACCAGTGCATATCCAGTCATTTTGTTTAGTTTGTTTTGTCCTGCGAAAGAATTACAAGCACTGAAGATTCACTGCTTTAATAGTCTACTGTGAAAACAAAGGAGAAAAGAGGGATTCACTGGTCAAAATTCCTTCAGAAGAAAACTGGCATCCCAAGACAGAAATAGCTTTGGAAGGAAACATTTAGAGCAGAGGTGGGATTCTGCTGGTTCTGTCCGGTTCAAGCGAACCGGTAGTGGTGATTGCGGGAGGCTCTGCCCACCACCCAGATGTAATGCAGAAGCACTTGCGCATGCGCAGAGGAGGCACATGCTCACATTTGCGAACCGGTAGCGAAGCTAAGTGAATCCCACCTCTGATTTAGAGAGGAGGGGAGCATTCCTACCACATTCACATTGGAAATAGTCACCTTCAATGAAGTGAAGTGAAGCAGTTGAACCAAACAGTGCAATCTCTACCAGCTTCTATACTTATAAATAGAGCTGGAAAAGACTAATGGAAGTTGGCCTCCAGGTGGGGCTGGAGACAAAAAGAGGGCAATGTTGCAGAGATGGCTAGTGGCTCTTATGGACCATACTTCTGCTGAAACAAACTGATTGTGTGGAGTAACCCTTAGTGTCAATCTATCATGAGAGATACAATAGAACGTAGAATTTCTCAAATCAGGTGCATAGATGAATTTTCCATCTAACTTAAATGGAATCTAGTTTATTTTGATCTTACAGTGACTTTGAATACAAAGTCACACAATACACTTTTAATTATATTTCCATATTTACGGTACTAAATTAAAAAATACAGCTAATTGTACCAATAGAAGAGAAAATTTGTAACTCAGGTTTGAACTGTGGGGTCCTTGGTACTCTCTGAGCTTTCTTGTTTTCTTGTAGACATTGCATTACCCACCTAGGTAACATCATCAATACTAGAAGGGAATGAGGCAGGGGTGGGTTCTACTTACCTTTACTACCGGTTTGCATCGTGCCCGTGTGCACTCTTCTGCTCATGCGCAGATCACCTATGATGACGTCCAGGTCAGTGGGTGGAGCCTCCCGCTACTAGTTCTGGTGAACCAGTCCGAACCGGGGGCAACCCATCACTGGAATGAGGTTTGCAAAAAAAAAAAAAACCCAACCAAGCTCAGAGAGCACCAAGGACTCTACAGCCAATTTTTACAAGTTCCCTTAATTCTTTGTGTAGAATAATAACCTAAAGTATTTTATTGACCCTTCCTATGTATTTCAGCTTTCCGGCTGGTAGCAATTCTTCTCTTTTCAGAGCTGGATAGTTGGATGGTTGGTTGGGTTTTTTTTTAATGTTTTGATGCCTTTGAGCATCAGCATTGATTCCTGACTGGACTAGTTCCTGCAGTTTTGTTGCCAAAGTTTTTCAAAAATGGTTTGTTTCCTTCCCAGGGTTGAGAGAGAGTGACTGGCACAAAGCCATCTAGCTGGCTTCATGCCCAAGGTGGAACTAGAACTCATGACCTCCCACCTTGTAGCCTGATGCCCTAACCATTGCACAAACTGGCTCTCTTATTTGGTATATGAATTCCGTGCTATGCTTTTTAGCCCTACATAGTTCCTTCCATGGAGAAAGCAGCATCAATCCTTTAAAACATCCTAGCTTGCTTTGTGTATCCAAGATTGATGAATCGTTTATACCAGTGGTGAAATGTAAAATTTGTTACTACTGGTTCTGTGGGTATGACTTGGTGGGGGGGTAATATGAGTGGGTGTGGCCAACTTTTTTTTTTTGTTAACTTTTAAAATCATTTTTTCTACAACCTCTTCAGTTCAAGCCTCTGATGATTCCAGCTGAGCCGTGCGATCATCAGAGGCTTTTTTTTTTTACTTTTAAAAGCATTTTTTTGGCCAAAGAGGTTGTAGAAAAAATGCTTTTAAAAATGTAAAAAAAAGCCTCTGATGATTGCATGGCTCAGCTGGGCAATGGGGGGGGGGCAGAGATTTTTGCTACCGGTTCTCCGAACCACCTGCCTCCATCGCTACTGGATCAGACGATCCGGTCCGAACCACGAGCATTTCACCCCTGGTTTATACTGAAAAGAGTCAATGTGTGCTAATGTAGATCTCCAGGAAGCGAAAGATTGTCTATGCAAATCCTCCATGGGAAAATTAATAAAAAAGAAAGAGCAAGCAAAAGCAAGTGAAAATATACACGTACAACCTTATAGGTATATTTTCTATACTGTGCATGATGTAGCAATGGCTAGATTGGTTTATCATGCCAAATGTCTGATTTAGAATAGGTAAGTTAAGCGTGCTGAAGGATTTAGTGTCCTGACATCTCTTTAATTAGCAGTCACTGGATCCTTCACTTAAGAAGGCATAAGCTATTGGACTGCTGTCATACTTCAAGGGTTTTAGAAGGTTGGAAAGCCCACAGAACAAATCTAGAGTCTATAGTTGCTGGAGATATAATAAACAACATACCCTTTTTCCATTAGAAGCAAAATAAGTCTTTTGCTGGGTTTTGGTGGGGATGCAAGAGTAAAACAACAACAACAACAATAACAACAACAACAGCAACAACAACAACAACAACAATCTGCCAAATAGAAGCCAAGCAGGATGGGTGAAATCAATAAAGAAGATGTTGAAAAATATTTGGACAACAACCCGCAATTTGCCAAGGAGTTTTATGATAAAAGACTTCGCCCAGAAGCATTAACGAACCTCTTCAGAGTCAACACCGAGAATTTGAAGGAAGGTATCTCCTTCAAAGAGATGACCAAGGTAGAAGAATGTGAAATACTTTTGGAATTGCTTTACGAAATCCAGGACGACGAAGCTGCTATGGAAAAGATCTCACATAAAGTCCTGCAAAGGTTGGCACAGTTACTAGCAGCTGACAAGTGTAGCATGTTTATTTGCCGTTCCCGCAATGGTACCCCAGAGCTAGCTAGCAGACTCTTCGATGTGACCCCTACTTCCAGTTATGATGACAATTTGGTGAATCCTAATAGAGAAGTTGTTTTTCCTCTGGACATCGGGATAGTAGGTTGGACTGCTCATACTAAGAAATCATTTAATATTCCAGATGTAAGGAAGGTGAGTAGGAGTTTCTTCTGAATTTGGAGAATTTGATAAAGTCATTTTATGTTCTGGAGTCGTGTAAAAAGACTTTAAAAAAATTAAGGGGGCTATAGAACTATAGAGACTTCCTTAAATGTGCCAAGTCTCTGAAATGGCTGGCAGAATGTAAATATTTTTTTTTCAAATAGGACACTATTTAACAATTTATATTCTTCAGCATCTTAAATGTGTTTATTTTAGAGCATTATTTAAACAGTAGACAGAAGAAGGAAGGACTGTTATTTCTAAAGCAAATCCATATCTGAAATAGTTGAGGTCTAAGCTCCTACCTAGTGCCCCTCCTGATTTCAAACTGGGCTGAAATTAGTCTTATTTATTTAATAACACACAGATATTGGTTTCCGTATAATTTGAGACAATCGCCCTATTTTAGTTTGAGGGAATTCCCTCTATCATGAATATTAGAAGTACCGTGCTAAGTCCAATGAGGTAAGATTGTTCTTGATCTCCTTGGTTTATTCTCCTGTAATCCACTTTATGAATTAAAAGGATTATCTACCAAGATCCCTTGTTGATAGCAACAGGCAATGCATCAAATATCGCTTGATATTTCCCAGGTAGCACCTGGGTTGATTTTTCTGCTGCAGAGAGATATTTGACTAAAACAAACCACCACGGGCCAATTCTAGTCTGTGACCATAATTAAGATTGATTGAATCACAATAGGTTTGTGGCTCAATTAATTTAATTCTTGGCTGTGTGGTTATGTTCTCCTGCAATTATTTCTGAACCAGGGACATAATCCATTAAGACTTTTCTCTTGGGGAAACAGACTGAAATAAATAGGAAGCGTAGCATTAAACAAGGATCTAAAATATGATCTGCTTTCTGGGAATCATCCTGAATTGCAGCCAAAATGAATTCAGCGGTTTTGATTTTCATACTAAGTTTGCAATAAATTTGGAAGAAATTTATTGTAGAATTTTAAATCCTGACATCTATTCCTCCTTTCCTTTCCTTTCCTTTCCTTTCCTTTCCTTTCCTTTCCTTTCCTTTCCTCTCCTTTCCTCTCCTCTCCTTTCCTCTCCTCTCCTCTCCTCTCCCCTCCCCTCCCTTCTCCTTCTTTCCTTTCCTCTCCTCTCCTCTCCTCTCCCCTCCCTTCCTTTCCTTTCCTTTCCTTTCCTCTCCCCTCCCCTCCCTTCTCCTTCTTTCCTTTCCTCTCCTCTCCTCTCCTCTCCCCCTCCCTTCCTTTCCTTTCCTCTCCTTTCCTCTCCTCTCCCCTCCCTTCCTTTCCTTTCCTTTCCTCTCCTCTCCTCTCCTCTCCCTCCCCTCCCTTCTCCTTCTTTCCTTCCCCTCCCTTCTCCTTCTTTCCTTTCCTCTCCTCTCCTCTCCTCTCCCCCCTCCCTTCCTTTCCTTTCCTCTCCTTTCCTCTCCTCTCCCCCTCCCTTCCTTTCCTTTCCTTTCCTCTCCTCTCCTCTCCTCTCCCCTCCCCTCCCTTCTCCTTCTTTCCTTTCCTTTCCTCTCCTCTCCTCTTCTCTCCCCTCCCCTTCTTTTCTTCCCTTCCCTTCCCTTCCCTTCCCTTTCCTTTCCTTTCCCTTCCCTTCCTTTCCCTTCCCTTCCATTCTTGTGGGTGCACTGCAGTTCATACCACTTATGGATTCCATAATCAATCTGATCCTTTTAGTTAGGTATACCTATTTATCTTACAAAGCAGTTACATGTAATTTTTCATTGATGCAGAGAGATTTTTCTATTCTGTTTCTATATCCTCTAATTTAAAGAACATCACTTTGGGAACATTTCCTATGAATTTTGATTGCATTCTACAGAAAGTGTGTATCTTTTGAACTAGACAGGAAGAGTTGGATTGTTTGATTCTAATGAGAGTAAAAAAAGAGGAGTTAATAACTAATGTAACCTATGAATATTATAGTACCACCCTGTCTGCATATCCAGTCCCCAATACAGATTTTGAATGTAATTTTTCAGACATTTTTAAATTCAATATTAGCACCCAATTACTGATCTCTTCCTTCTGATATGATCCCTTCCTGTTGATATAAGCCTGCACTTCTGAACTGTTTCACGTTTATGATTTTGTTATAATTTTGATACCACCACTATTAATATCAATAATGTCCTATTTCATTCTTCAGTCAAAACTCCCTCTGCCATCATCTTTACATTTGCATAAGGGAATTCTGAAAATATAGGTTCTCTGTAATATAAGAATCTCTGTGTAATTCATATGCATACATTTCAAAGAAAGATGTGTTTCTTGGTTAAGCACACAGCATTTTCATATTTTTCTTGTATCACCGATGATTACACTATTTATTTATTTATTTATTTATTTATTTTATTAAATTTCTATACCGCCCTTCTCCCGAAGGACTCAGGGCAGTGTACAGCCAGAAATAAAACCATGACAATATAAAAATTAAAAGCAATTTAAAACAATTAAATAAATTGGCCGAAAACTCTAATAAAACAACCCATTAAAATAATAAAATATTATTATTATTAGGCCAGCCCTGCTTGTTGGAATAATAATGTTTTTAGGGCGCGATGAAAGGTACGCAGGTCAGGAATCCTACGAATTTCCGGGGGCAGCTCATTCCAGAGGGTAGGGCCCCCACAGAGAATGCTCTCCCCCTGGGGGTCGTCAGCCGACATTGCCTAGCCAACGGCACCCAGAGGAGCCCCTCTCTGTGAGAGCGTACTGGTCGATGGGAGGCTATTGGTTGCAGAAGCCGGTCTCGTAGATATCCAGGTCCCATGCCATGGAGTGCTTTAAAGGTGGAAACTAGCACCTTGAATCGCACCCGGAAGACTACCGGGAGCCAGTGCAGCTCGCGCAGGAGCGGTGTTACATGGGAGCATCGAGTTGCTCCCATAATTACCCGCGCGGCCGCATTCTGGACCAGTTGGAACCTCCGGGTGCTCTTCAAGGGGAGCCCCATGTAGAGAGTGTTACAATAGTCCAGACGGGAAGTGACGAGGGTGTGAGTGACTGTGCGTAAGGAGTCCCGGTCCAGAAAGGGACACAACTGGTAAATCAGGCAAACCTGATAAAAAGCCCCCCTGACCACTACAGGTAGTCTGATCACAATTGAGCCCAAAATTTATGTAGCTCAGTGAGAAGTTTGTTAAGTGAATGTTGCCCCATTTTACAACTTTTCTTGCCACATTTGTTAAGTGAATCACTGAGGTTGTAAAATTAGTAACATGGTTAAGTGAAACCTGGTTTCCCCATGGGCTTTGCTTGGCAGAAGTTTGCAAAAGATGATCACCTGACACAGGAAGGTGCAACTGTCATAAATACGAGTCAGTTGTCAAGCATCCAAATGTAAATCACATGATCCTGGGGATGCGGCAACGGTCATAAGTGTGAAAAATGGGCATAACTCATTTTTTTCAGTGCCATTGTAACTTTGAACGGTCACTAAATGTACTGTTGTAAGTTGAGGACTACTTGTATTAACTATTAAAAATGCAGCAGGGGCACCAGCCAATTAACTCCATCCCCACTTTTTTTTGGAGTAGGGGGAGCGGACATACTCTAAAACCAGTGGTAGCTTGGAGAAAAACATTGATTGGAGGATGATCTCTGCATGTTCCTATTAGTCAGTGGGAAGGAAACAAGGTAATCTCTAATTGCATAATCTCTGTAGGTAGTATGTGTCTTCCTCAGTCTTGGGCCTTCTACCAAAGGCCTGGAAGTTTGAGACTTCTGCGCAATATCTTACCTATTTTTAGCACCGCAGTCTTCTGGGCACAGAGCTCTGATGTTGTTGCTGGGATCTGTTGGGAAAGACTCTCCCAGTTTAGGAGTCACAGCCCCAAGTGTTCCTATCACCACGGGGATCACTTTGGGTTTTACTTTCCACATCCTCTTTAGTGCTTCTTTCAGGCCACGGTACTTCTTCAGTTGCTCATACTCCTTCTTCCTGATGTTGTTGTCAACAATACTTCTGTCATCAGCTCTCTCTCTCTCTCCTCTCCCCGGTTGTGTATGTTAATTGCAAAAAAGTATGCTCTTTCCGGCTCATTAGAATGCAATATCTAATTTGAGTGGGAGATGATGAACAATAGTTTATTTAATGTGAAATTACCCAGATAAACAGTAATATTCAACTTTTAGAAAAATCATCTTAGGAAGCTCTCCAGAGACAAAGCCATTCTTTCCCAAAATCAACTAAGCTGTGGACGTGGGAATTCATCCTGTGGTGTTTATTTGGTTTCTTCCTGTGTGCTCAACTTGAACATCTAGAAATAAGCAAACATTTCAAAAATAACTGAACTGTATCTCCTACTCTCTGCTTTTATGAAAAAAAATTGACATTACACATTGACTTGATAATTTCCTGGTGGAAGAGACAATGTGTGGGTTCGAAAATTACACTCAGCTCAATTTTCTATATCTCTTAGTGGCCATGCAGATTTTTGCAGACCAGGTACTGTATGGTAATCCTATCAGGAGGAGAACAGGAAGCATTATACTTAACAACCCCTTTTTAATAAAACCGATATTGAAATCTCATAAGAAATCCCCTTTCTTAACAGGGGAAGATTAAATTTGCAGCAACTCCTGTTTTATTGCACGTAGAATTACAGGAATTGGACTATAAAAATCTGCATGACAAACCGATGACAGCAACCCAGAAATGCTAGATCTTTCCAAATCAGATCTCATATATGTTAAACTCAGAACAGTCCTTTATGTTTAAGAAGGTACAGTATATCTTGGGAGACCAATTAATGCTTTTTCATTAATACTATCCATCCTGGCCTAATTAATTGCATTTCAAATGAAAATTCCCTCCCTGAAGCCTTGGAAGGAGTGGGAAGCATATATATATAAAAAAAGGCAAGATGGTGGTCACCACTCCACAAATGAAGCCCCTTTTATTACCTGTAAGAGGGGCCTCAATGTGTAAACTACAACTTCACTAAGGCTAATACATCATGTGATAATTTCCTTCTGGTTTAGATTTAAAAATGGCTATTTTGGA